GTTGACATCGTGAAGCGCGATACCCCTGAACGATCCTGAACGTCTATCACTCTCCGCTGTCGCATGGTGGTGTCGCTCCCTGATTCACTGCTCTGCCCCAAGCCTGTAGAAGCTTGGTCTCTTTTTAGCTTGCATGTCTATGGTCGCGCAATCGAATCTGCCACTTGGCAGCGCTACGGCTGCGGTGGCAGTCCACGACAATGACAATGGAAAAAAAAAGATCTGACAGGCAGTACCACCATACGATGGCCTGACTGATTCAGCCTCCCGCCCTCTTTTGCAGCTGGTGCCACTTGTTTCGACAACACTTTGGGGAGGCTGCTGCCCTGTAGGTGGTGGAAGATCTGGGCAGAGTCAGGCTTGAAGAAGTTCAAAATCCTTTCATTCGGCTTAACATTCATGCACCGAGACCATGATTACAGAGGTTGCTCCGCTGCGAGCAAGCTCGTCTCAGGTCAGAGCTTACATCAGCTCGTTGTCAGCAAGCCAAAATGGAGCTGTGAGCATTCAGGGTGATAGGGGCGTCATGGTGCTTTCTTATGAAAAAGAGCTGACTCAACTGGCAGAAACTTTAGCTCGTTTCAGATCTGCCGCCTTGGTGATATGCGGGAGTGGCTCATTTCAGTCTTGTTGCTTCTTGCAATGCGCTGTCGCGCCCTAGGCCCAAAGCTTTATCACGCTTCCTGAGGGCCATACGACCTCCCCAACTGCGCTGCTGACACCAGCACCTGACTGGGCATGTGGCGTTGCTGTCCCAGTCCCCTTCTGTGCTGTTGCCTGAGCCCTCTGCTGGCATCCTCTCTACATCTCTTATCCAAGCCAGTCGGAGCAGCATCGCCTGCTTTGCATCGCGCGCACACTCAAGGAGAGCTGACGCACATGCCGGCCTGCCCGCTGCGGTGACAAGAGGTGCTCCTTCAAGCGTGGCAGTTCACTGCTTGCCTGTCACCCTCTCAGCTTGCAAGAAGACATCCAATGAGCAGCCAGGTCCTCGCACAAGAAGCCGCCGCCCGAAGTGGGGTTCACCTGCAACAGCTCAGAGCTCTTGTTTACAGCACCAAACTGCCTGTGCTAAGCCCATCTAGCTGCCAAATTAGAAGAGAACGTCTCTCCCGCCTCAAACACGCTAAATTTTGGCAGAGACATCTTCCACGCCTGCGCCGGTCTTACTAGCGGTCTACACTCATTGTCGACTCGCAACGCACTTGTGCGCTGCTTGTACTTTAAGTCGGCTGTCTTCTACAAACGTTGCAGAGCATGGCCTCCTCAACGGGTACCCTCAGTTGACCACCAAAGTTTTGCCGGGAAGCATTTTTGCTTGAGTTCCGGGTTTGGGGGCAGGGGCCAACATTGCATGTGCTTGCTTCCCGCAATTTGGCAAGGAGCCCCTTGAAGTAGGCCAGCAAGAGCTGAAGCGCTGTGATGTGGCTAACCTCGGATTTCATGCAAGTTCTTGCAGATCTTAGCAACAATCATACGATGTAAAATGCAGCTCCGTGTTGACAGGCTAGGTTGAATGACAATGTCGACTCTATAGCTGCCTCCCACAAAAACCCCCCAAAGGGCATTCCCTACTCAAACTATTAATGCGGTAGTCTCCATGTTCTTTTCCAGTTGATTCTCTATGATTGGAAGAAGTATCCCTGTACTCTTATATTATCCTTAAACCCTGAATCATGGTTTGCATGCTCTTGTCCATTTTTTCCACATGTAACCCCAATATCACCCCCATATAGCCAAACAAAAACTCATGAGATCCTTGTTGCCAGCGGCCTCTCGTGCAACAGAGGGTTACATAGGCTTATATGGGGGTAAATTGGGGATAACATAGGGATTATGTAGGGTTAGAAAGGGATTCTGTAGAAGATCTGTGAGCTATCAGAACTTGGAATGAATGAGAGAGCCTTGATGTATGGCCTTGCGAACACATTACTGCAACATGTGCAGGCGGCAGTGGGCCATCAAAAACGAAATGTACCTTCAATGAGTGAAGAAAACAGCATCAATTGACCAAAGAAACCAGCACCGCTGTCGTTGCAAGGGTTTTGTTCCAAATAGCCCGCTGGATTATTGCGTTCGATGCTGCCATTGCAACTTTCAGGCATTCATACTCGTTTGCATCGGGCTGCGATTCTTGCACAGGTTGCCTTGCTTGTTGTTCGGCTATAATTAGCTTCTTCGAGGAACCGCATCATAACATGATGTCTCCCACCGCTGCAACTTTCAGTATTTCTGCCTGTAAGAGCTTCAGCTCTTCCAATTTGCGGTATTTACAGGTCTGAAGAGCTCCGCCGCTCCTCCCAATGCTAAGACTGCAATTACCTTCGACTGAGATCACGCAATGCAGTTTGCATTTGGAAGATTGCTCTTCCTATTAACATCGGCTGTCGGCTCAGTTGGTTTCTTTTCAGGGCTTTTGCTTGGCTTTGCTTCGGCGGAGCACCCTCCACGGGCCTCACAGACCAAAATGCTCCAGAGAATTGTTGTGGTGGCGATGAAACCACTACTCACTATTGACTGCATACGAATTTGCCGCATGGGATTTGCAAAAAATAGGCAGGATTAGAGGGATTCTCTTCAGAAAGTCTCGTTTCTGGTACCAGAAAATAAAATGTGGGAAAAATGCATAAACGATTTGACAGGGATGAGCGGCGTAAGTAATCATATCACTGCAGTGGCAGTCGGAAAGATGATGGCTGCTTGACACATCAGGCATGCAGATTTGAAAAAAAGAATAAAATAAAGGGCAGTTATGGCTGCAGTAGACGAGGGGCGATGATGCTTTGTGATACATATAAATGGTGGATTCAGGGATCCGAGGCTTAAGCTTTTCACAGTAGCGATATAGCGACGGTGGTACCAAAAGCTATGAAATATTAGTCACAGTAGTGGAGAACGAACACCGTGATTCAAAATGCCGACGAGCGCAGCGGCAACAACAGCAGCAGCGACAACAACAACAACAACACCAACACCAACAACAACAGCAACAGCAACAGCAACAGCAACAGCAGCAACAGCAGCAACAGCAGCAACAGCAACAGCAACAGCAGCAACAACAGCGGCAACAACAACAGCAACAGCAGCAACAACAGCGGCAACAACAACAACAACAACAGCATCTGAACAAATTGTGGAACAGAAAACCCCGGCCACAGCAAAAAGAGAAAGCGTAACAACACAAGTAAGCCATAACAGTAATAATCACAATGATGCTAGGGAGAAAAAACGTAATGCTAGCGCAAATAGGCATGGTAAAATACTCGTGATCAAAAAAGAAGAATGCACCAGTCACAATTGGCATTCGAATGGCATTAGTCACCATGATATAAGCTGGAATGGTAACAATGCATTGGGTAGTTACAGGTATTCTAGAGGACAGGGGGCAGTGACATCAATAATAACAACCATCTTAGTGCAAGTAATGGCACAAATAGCAGTCAGAGTGGTAGAAGTACATCGTCGGACTGCTGGCAGGATTATCACGGCCAGCACGGTCATGATCCCATGACTGCTAACATCTCGCTGCCCAGAGTTATGATAATTGCCATCATCCCTTACCTTGACGGTTGTACCGGTTCACTCTGCGTGGCGCGCCTACTTCTCTGTACTCTGCTTAGTCTTTTCGCGCGTCTCTTCTTCCTTCTTCTTCTACAGGCATAGGAAGGCCTTGCAGCTCCCTAGAGCACAGCTCCTTGCCCTCCCATAGTCCGCGCGAGCGCAGGTCCGACCCAGAGGACCGAGGTAGCACTAGTCCCAAGCCGCCACCCAATGCCCCGGAGACCGTTCAACAAGAAACTGCCGAATTATGAATGCGCATAGATGTCCGGCTCAGGTCTAACGCTTCTTCCTACTCAATGGGCTTGTGAGACGTAACCAGGCCTATGCATATGCCCAAGACTCTCTTCTTCCTTCTTCTTCTTCTACTGGCTGCGCCAGCTCCTGAAGGGGCAGGCTGGGGCTACGCCCCATAGCCGTGCATCCCTGTCTGTACACAACAAAAATGAAATCGAACAATCCCGTCAACGTCGTTTAGGATCCTTGACTTCTTCTTCTCCCCCTCAGCCCCCCAACCCCTCTTCTTCCCATTGGGATTCTCCGCTGCAGTCCGAACATAAATCACTCCCATAGCACACGGAAATATCCACACTAGGCCCCCACATCTCGAAAGATTTCGTTGGAGAAGCTATATCCCGGAAAAGTTGGTGTTCTGGCACCTTCACTTGTGGTCTTGGATGAGGAGGCTCTCCGACAGCGCCTAATTTCCCGATCAAGGCCCCCACTGGGAACCCACCAATGCATGTCTCCTCATCTGTTCATTCCATTGGTACCTGAACACGTTGGTTCCGGTGCCATTCTGATTATTTACACCTGTTACGTCTGCGCTATGATTCCACTCTTCATTCCCCTAATTGGTGCATCTGAATTGTTCGGTTGTCATTGCGTACTGCCATCCCATATCCAAGCATTTTCCTACGGACCCCTCCCTCTTGCCTTTCCCCTCAGACATGGGTATTGCAAATTATGCACTGGTCACGGTAGGGTATCGGTATCCGCTCTCCCCTAGGAAGCCTTTGTTCCCTTTCGTTCTCTCTTGTTCTTCTTGCTCTTGCCGTGGCAACTGTTCTTGTCCACCACTTGGAGGCTCTGAAGAGATTCCGCTCCTGCAATTTGCTGCATTGACCGCCTGAAGAGATACTACAACTGAGCAGATTGACCCTCACTGATGAACATGTAACGTTGCAACAGCGTTATTTGTCTCTCAGACTGTACGGCCTGATGATTTTCTGATAGATCTTGTGAGCCTTGATTCTATATGGAAATTCTTTGATGACACAAAGGGAGCATTTGATCTGACTCCATGCTGGGGGACACCCATGCATCATCTTGCACTACCACCCTCTTGGGACATTTGATTTGTATTTTTTGCAGATTGTTTCCATAGTGCAGATGACAGCAAACCCAAGTTAGCTGCCACATCTGTAAGCTCAGAAGGGGGCTATGAGGACTGGTGAAGTGCACATTTCGACCTCATACGCTGCAGCTGCAGTGTGCGAAGCTCAAGCACCGCAAGCGTGTCACAGCAGCGGAGCTGCACTCAATAATTCTAACACCAGCCGGGAGCATGACGTCAATCAGAACACCCTCCAATCGCATGATGACATCCAGATAACCTGAATATCCGATATGCACGAGTTTGCTTACAGAAGACGTCCGTCTTTGGCTTTCAGCGTGCAAACTGAGGACGGAACTTTCACCACCCGGAAAGTGACAAAGCAAAGGGTTTTTGAGCCACCTGGAAAGTTGGCTGTTGGGCTCTCTATGGGTGCCAAGAGGGTCAAATTGTCGTGTCTAGCACCGCTTAACCCTTGATCAAGTATCCGGGAAGCATCCTCTTGAAATCATTTGGCAACTCAAAACACATGGCAAATGCGTTGCATAGGTGCTTCCCGCAGCAAACTACCATAGCTCTCAGGCAGCCAACATCAATTCCAAGCGCAGCTCATTCTATGAGAACTTGACAGGCGAAGTCAGAAACAATGAGTCTGGTTCTCAAGTGAGCTTCGATTTTATGCACGTCCAGGATAGTAGAACCTGGAATCCGCATAGCTTGGCATCACCAGGACACTTTGGCAGGAAAAAAAGCAGCAGTTTGCTATGGATTATGAATCAACATCAAAAGCTAGTTGACATAACTGCAGGGTCGGACCGTACAGGGGCGCAAACTATTCTTCTGTAATCTGCCTCTCTGCAGATCTCTGCTTCAGTCATCTGACTCGTGCTCGGCCGTCAACATTGTCTCAACGTCATGCTGCACACAACCATACGCGTTCAAACGTCTTGCAAACTGTTCATGCTTTGCAGCCTTCAGGCTCCCTGTTTCTCATAGCGCGCAATGACTTGCCCAAAGGAATACCGTGTTCTGCATGAGGTCTGCAGCAGCCGCTACAGCTTACGAGCACCAGGAAGCATACGTTGCATTGCACTGCATCGCTCAAGCTTGTTGGGTTATCCGGGTCCGGGACTGATCCATGAACTCGGGATGGCGCTTCTCTACCTGAAACACGCATATGCGATGATGCGAACTTGTCAATTCTGAACAAGAATTGTGAAGAGGCAGCACGCCTCAGAATTTTCACAACAGATGCGGGCTTTTCTTGGACACATTTGGCTCTCTTAAGAAAAATGCACTCAAGTGAGTGGTCTTAGTATCCTTGTGCGCCTCTCTCCATGGAGGCAGATCGTCTGGACATTCCACATCCCACCAGCCGGCCCCCAGAACACCCTGACAGGGGCAGATATCAATACAAGGCGCCAGAGATTTCTGCGCTCAACTGCCTTGTCGATCGGGTTGAAGGCCTGACGTGAGAAGGACGGACTCCGACGCATCCGGACAACTTTCCAACCTACCGACTTCAGCGCTTCAGGGCGCTGAGTGTGGAGCTGAACGCTTGTCAGCAACCACCCCGGTGTATGCAGCCTGAGATCAGGAGGCTACCCTCGCAGCATCTGTTCAACAAAGGAAAGGCCGACATCTGCAAGATGAACGAGGCGATGGCCGATGCGACAGCGCGGGGCATTGTGCTTGTAAACACCTTTGTCTGCTCCTTCGCAAGCAGAGACGGGTCTTGCATCAACTCTACAGCTGCATCCAGCGCAACAAGGCATGATTCTCCGCCGCCACCCTCTTTTACCCTGGAACGCTTCTTGCGGCCGTCAGCTGCTGCTTATCAGCATCTGACATCTGCTGAAGCAAAACATGAGCCGTCTGAAGGGATTCCGCCATGATGTTCTCCCGCCTGAATGACAGCACCACACCACGCCACACGTCTGCCGAGAACCGTTTGTGATACACATCCAGTTAAGGCCACACAATGTGCCAAGCAGCCCCAGCTCCCCACGTAGAAATTGCAGAGCTTCTTTGTAGGCCAATGCACACAGATACCTCAGCTTGTCAAGCTTGCCTGGGAAGGTGTCAAAGTCATCATCCTCAACATGCCGAAGGCATGTTAACACTTGTGAAAATACACGTCTGTGTCAGATTAGCTGCCGAGCTCTACGGTTTTGTTGCGCTGTCAACAAGCCTGAACTACTTTCTCCTAGAAGGCTGAGAAATAAGGCTTGAGCTCGCTCATCTTTGCACGAACCACCGTGGAATTCCAAAAGCCAAGCCTCCTTGTCAAAAATGGAAGCACAAGTCAGTGTAAGCTCAATGCTCTAGTTCTTCGACGGTATGTTGTATCGTCTATATCACTTGAACAAAAGCTGTTGATGATCGCCTAGAAACATTGTTCGCGTGCTCCGACGTAGATGAGGGCAACTTACCACCCACATCTACCCACAAGCAAAGCGAACAGCGTGACAGATGGTTGAACAACACCGCGATTCGAATTTGTCTTTTGCTTGTTTTGATCTTTATATTGTTTCGTTATGTTTCAATGTTGTCTGAACGAAGTGGACCTTGTCCATCTGCTGACCGGAAGTCGCGCAACGTTTTAGAAGTTATGCCCGTCCTTGCATCGGTGCGATCAGCATCATGAGCTTGTTGCCACAGGCTCTCCCGCCTCGATCTGTTGCCTGCGATTATCTCCGCGCAACATGCCCGTAAAAAAAAGCTCAGGAATGTAATCTCAGATGGCATCCAGCCTTCAGCCTGCACCCACCCGGCAAACCTCGAACGTGCACAAAGATTTGTTTACACCCAAAATTGTCTTCAGGAGAATCCCGGTGTTGTGTCTGCCAACCAAGGAGCTCCTCACGAGAAAAGAAGTTGTCGTCGCTGTCTCGCATCCACCAAACCTGAAATATGTCTTGCTGTGTCATGTCGCATGCTTTGTAAAAGTCTACGTCCATTTTGCATGTGCTTCAAAACCGTCCCTCTGATCATCGCTGATCTTATCCCGCTGGCGTGAGACTGTTGAGTGATTCAGGTGAGGGGCCGAGCTGGTGGCATTGCCGAGCCGATTCGCTGAAAGAACGCCGCGATGAGGTTCCAGCAGCTTGTCGTTGCCTCTGCGCAGGAAAACCTCCCGTAGCTGCATCGGTTCTACAGGAGGTTTTACCAATCCCTATAATCCCTGTAGTTTCCATTTTTTCCATTATCCCAATACAACCCCAGTATATACCCTATAATCCCTATATAACCCATTATAGTAGTTTCCATTTCATTTTCCATTATCCCCATATAGCCCCAATATAACCCCTTTTTATACAGGGCATTCACAGCCGAGGGCCAAGATCTCAAAGCTGTTGAGTTTTTCTGATTTCGAAGTGCGAAGGTTTCAGATCTGCCCGAGGCCAAAGAGGTCGTTCGTAAGCAAACGACTACGCCTTTCCAAAGGATGTAGATCCAATGTAGGTCACTACAACAAGAAGAGTACTAAGATGCAACAGCAACACATCCAAAATCCACAGCATCTCTTACATCGTGCCACGCACGAGGTGCACATGTTCTGCATTGGTTGAATGATTGATTGATCTTGATTGGCTGCTTCATGCGTCTTCCTGTATGCCGAGAAAGGCTGGGCGCGTGTAAGGATTGGGAAACCTTCAACAAAGCATGACTCGCGTCCAAGCATCGATACCAGGACAGGAAGTGGTCAGCGACAGTCTCCATCAAACCTGCTTGCATGCTCTTTCGATCACCTGCTACTGCCTCGCTGCTGGCATCCCAGCCTGGAAGGGACGGCGCTGTGCCCTTTGCTCTGCTGAGCTCATCCCGCAGAGCCAGTACTGCAGCTTCAGCGGCATCAGGACCAGCCGCTGCCTCCAAGCTGCGAATGGGGTGTATGGCCTTGTAGGTTGTCTGAATCCATCATGAGCGGCCTAAATTGATGCTGTAGGTGTCACCTGTGATTCTTGCAGTGTGACATAATTGCCTGCGTGAGCATACGGGTACAAATGTGCTTGGTTTGTGCGACCAGCGGATCTTGAAAAGAAACATTGGCAGTGATTGACGTCATGAAACCATGCACTGGGGCATTTTCCAGGTCGACACAACATGGATACACATGGATGGATGTGAACTCATGTGTGACGTGTTGGCATGTCAGCAATGATCGAACATCTGCTCTGGCAAAGCAAACCTACAAAGACCATGAGGGCTTCTCAGAAAATGCTATTCGGGGGGCTGAGGGACTGTAAGGACAAAGAAGGAATTATCTGCCCCATAGGGTAGTCTTCAAAGACAGGGGGACCACCAGTTTTTTGGAAACCCTCCTATCTACAGTGCAAGCCAACGGGCCAAGAACATGCACAAAAGCCATGTCGAGTTGCGGGCAGATTCTTCAGCCAAGGCGTTGCCAAGCGAACGTCTATCTCCATGTCACTGAAATCCAGATCTGGGTAATACTTCTCAGCAAGCGCCTGGCTGTGGATGCAATGCTCCCATTGCGCAAAGCTAGCACCTAGCGGCGCAAAGCCCTGCCTGGGTAAAGATCCTCACGGACCAAAAGGGCTCTGCAAAGGGCGGATCCGCAAAGCCATAAGAAGCCAGAAGCTCAGGATTTGAGCGCCGACCATAACCTGCTTCGGGTTACGGGCTATCAGGCACTTGATGGAAACACCTAGTGCCGGTAGCTTTCTAAGGGCTCCCCGACAGCAATGGGTATTTTGCTACTGAGAGGAAACTGCATAAATTCCTGAGCTACCTCAGCCACTTCAGCTTACAGCGCAAAACATTGCTATCAACTTTACATGGGTGCTTAGCAATCAGGGAAAATGGGAACGACAAATATGGAGGTTATATAGGGAGTATACTCCCTTAGGAACCACCTTGCCCATACTCCAATGAAGTGAAACCTGGTGACTACACATCACAGTCAATGGATGCAAACAGCAACCGAGTCGCTGTTGGTGATTTCCGTGTCTGCAGGGATGTCCCACTTTGCCCACAGTGCCAAATTGCCGTCTTGATCCAGTTGGTAGTTCCTTTTCAATTTAATCACGCGCAAGGATTGATTGCAGTCACACGAGATTTGGCATGCTCAAGTGTTTGAAGGTAATTGAAGCTTTCCGAGTCGCAAGTCGGATGCCAACTCTGGCTTGTGATTCAAGAATTCCTGAGCTGGCCCCCGCGCACGGTTGCTGGTACGTGACAGTATGAGCAGGATAGCTCAGCATGCATGGTGCGATATACACATGGAACCATGCTGCGGGTTCGCACAGGCACGATATGACACAGCTTAGAACCGGCGTGAGTTTGCACATACCTATACTGCCTATATTGATCCTGGCAAACTCGAGATGTGCCTTTCATGCCAGCTTCCCGCAGCGTGGCCTTACTGCATTCTAGCGGCAAAAACGGGAATTATGTGTGGCTTATCTCCAGGCCCTTTGCAGCCGTGCGAGAGGATGAATTGATTCATCGCCTGCCAGGTGAAAATTTGCCTCCCAACAACGTCTCTGCTGCATGACATGGGTACATCGTTATTTCTAAGACAATTGCTACTCCCCCCAACAACTCCTGGCAGTTTCCGTGCCTATATCTACACTAAATCACCACTATCTCTCCACTATCTCCCCACTATATCTGCCTATATAGGGAGATATACGTGGTAAGAAAGCTCTCCGAATACTCTACCTGAGATAGTATCGAGATAGTGCGATATAGTGCAGGGTTTTGGGGGGAGTTGTAATTTCCCCTTAGAACGGCAACAATTCTGGGCTGCCAGAGATAGCCCCGACATAAGCTTGAGATAATGCCATATAGTGCAATAGAACGGCTGCAATTTCGGTCTCCCGGCAGCCACCCCTAGCCTACCTCAGCATGACATGCTCCTGATAGTCCTGAGATAATCTGAGATAGTCCTACATGTTGGGGGGAGCTCGAGGCAGGAGTAAAAATTGTCTTAGATTATTGCACGATTGACGACTGAACCCCAGATCACACTAAATTTCAGAAGATCAGAATCTCAACTTATGCGAGATGATTCGATGCTGGAAGCACTGAATGTACTATCTTTGCAGACTCAGACTGTGTGTGCTTTTGAGATGTCCTGCAAGCGCAGATTCTGACATGCACCTGCTCAGAATGCCATGATTGTCTCTTGCACAGGCGCCTGGTACATGTCCATGTCCATCCTTAGAAACAGCTCACGGCCTGCCATCTACCGGACTCCTAGGGTCCAACAGCCAGACTCTACAGTCTTCCACAGCTTGATCGCCGGTGAGATTGCTTCGGACAACAACCAGCCAAGCGTCAGCTGCAGCTCTCGAGTGCAGCTGCGTGCTTTTGCGGTACATGGCTGTTGTAGCTTCTTGAAATCGCGTTGGTACCTTTGCTGCGCAGGTGTCAGCGGGGCTTTCATGGTTCCCATGGTATTCTGCTCTGAACAAAGAAATGCTTGGCGATGACGCACCACATGTGTCGGTGCCCTCACCGTCTATCAGCTTCTAAAATGAGAAAGTTTTCCCGGCGCTTTCAAACCAAACCTCCTGGCCATCCTGTTCTTGCCTGCATATCGGATTTCGTTAGAGTGCAGTTGATTTGCCAGAGTTGGGTCCCTGCGTTTCGTTGCGCCCGTCACCCTGACATACGAAAAAATTCCGAGGAAGAAGGGACATGAGCTTGGCAACCCTAGGCCCTAAGTGCACTCATACTCACACGAAACTGTGCGTATGATTGCTACCTCCAAACGTACGCGCATATGTCCACGTGAATTCCAGTGTCTCTGAGATCTCTTGGCACGCTTGCTTTGTAGCACAACTCTGCGAATTTGCAAGTCTCAGCGATTCGCAGACACTGAGCCTCGTACCAAAAAAGAGTGCGCCCAATGTCCTGGAACTCGTAGGATCCCAAGAGCAGCAGTAATTCCATCTCTTGCCTGTAGAATGGCATGGAGAAGGGCGGTGTGAATAGCTCCCACCAGGGCCGCCAAAACCCCACAGAAATTGGCTTCTCCAAATAGCTGCCTCAGATTGCTAGGAGGTTTCCATCAAGACCTCCCAAGGTTCGGCCTCACTAAGCTCTGAGCTATCACGACTATTGTGACATGTGACATCTTGCCGAGGCTTGTCAACACGAGCTTTCTCCGGTGTATATTGGTAGCAAAAGGCCGAATTTCAAACAAAGGTTCACTGCAAGAGCACACCTTCCTTGCATAGCCATGTAACGAGGAAACACTCTGCGAGCTTGCGCAAGCTTGTGTGTTCATGAGCCTCTGCATCTCTAATGCCAGGTTTAGCGGAGGCGCCGTACTGGCTGGTCAGCCAAGCAGCCATTGCTGCGACTCCACTTCTGCCCAAACTCAAATCTGTAATGCTGTCCTCACTTGTCGTCCCTCTCTTTGAACATGCACTGCTTCCCTCTTGGTTTAGACTTGCCTATCTCCACAGCAAAAGCTCAGATTGGAAGATTCAGCGAGAGCCCTGGAAGTTTCAAGGCGAAAATGCAAACAAAACAGAACCTGGATTTAAAAGCATTGCACATAATCCGTCATCATTACTTACCCCGTTGAATGTGGGAATGCCAGCGACTTGTGGACTTGCGCGAAGAATACTGGCCCGGCCACTGCATCTTAGCGTCAACATAAGCCGGCAGGGAACTATCGCCTTCTCGAATGCTGGCCTAAGTGGCCGCAGAGCTCGAGTCTCTCAAATAAAGGCAATGCGCCTACACATCTGTGCTCGACTCTACATTACTCCTTCACACGCACAGCATTGCACCAGAGCTTTGTGCGGCCAAACGACATCACTGATTTGCAGCTTGTGCGGAATGTGCATCAGCTTTTCTCCGGCTTGAACGGAATCCTTTTGCAACAAATCATCAAACTGGTTGCACTTATAGTACCAATATGTACCAACTGCAATGCCTCCTGAGGCTGGGTCCAAGGTGCGGAGCATGGCTCCTTTACCAGTTCCATCAATGTAGCCAATTTTCGTGGATACCTGTTTGCCACTGTCTTTCATGCTCGAATCAAACCGCTCATGTGCATGCTCTCCTAGTAAAGAACGCTTGTGCGTTCACAATGTAACCTGACAAGCTGCATACCCACCATTCTCTCGTACCCATTGGACAAGCTGGTGAAATCGCTGCCCGGTGCTGCCACCACTGAAGAACTGCACAGCAAGTGCCAGCACCACTCCAATGCAAGTGAATGCACCTCAGACGAGGATGCTGTCATCTGTGCCGTCACAGCTGAAGAATGCTGAGCCTGCTACCGTACATCCACAGGTTGGAGCTGGGGACATCGCCCTGAAAGGGCGCGCAATGCCGTTCTGATGGATGAGCGAAAAATGATGGTGTCCAAATTGGTGAATGACACTTGTTCTTGTTCAAACTCTGAAGCCGCTGACTCTGAATGCCCGATCTTATTCCAATTTGTCTCGCTCTTTTTAAAACATATCGGGTGGCTGAAGGCACTTTCTCTGCGGCCGCTGCATCCTTCCGAGCACCAGCGCCATGTCGCTTGCCCATGGCTTCCACACACTACAATGAATTAGGGCATTAATCTAGTAGGACTGGATAGGGACGGGAAAGAGATTGTCTCAGTTACACAAGGATTATATACGGGGTTCATAGGGTTTAGATAAGGCTCATATAAGGTTAAGAGGGATATTGCCCCAACAACGTAGAATCAAATGGAAAAGAACAAGGAAAGTTGGTTTTTGGGTATGCTGCAGTGGTATTTGGACTACGATAGGGTGGGGGTACGTAAGGCATTCTAGGGATAATGCAGAATGAAATGGAACATCAAACGGAAAAATGAATGGGCACAGGGATTATGGGGACTTATAGATAGGGTTTGAGGTACATTATAGTGTCGTACCCGTACCCCAAAGATGGAGAACTGGAGAATCAGACGGAAAAGTTACCACACACCACAATGGATTATGGGAGTTTATCAAAATGGGCGGCCCCTTGCTTTGGGACCTGGGGATGACAAGGAACTGCATCTGGAGCTTATATTGCAGGTTTATGGGGCCCCTCCGTATAGTAAAAGCTCTATTCAGCAAACGTGCATAATTGCTTTCAGACTAGAAGCAAGTAGAATCCAAGCATGAATTCGACATGCTAATTTGAGCTGGCTGCGGAAAGGACAGGGCAATGACTGCGTGAAGGCTTCACAGCCATGCTCAATCACAAACCTTTCACTGTGGAAATTGGATCTAATGAACCAGGTGTTTGCACTCTGAATGCCTCAAAGCTGTTGTCATATAGGTGCGCTCCTGCGGGTTTCCAGAGGATTCCCAGTAGCGCCGCGAGCGCTTCTGCACGAATTCTGCAAGGTTCCTCGCGAACTGCTCACCTGCAAGGACAAGAAGAACAGCGCAGCTAGGGCCTTGACAGAGGAATCAAGCCAATTCAAGCGATGTGCCCGCAACTGCTCTGCTATTCTGCTGTTGTTGTTCTCTTCTGATGGGGACGAGGAGCAGAAGCTTAGCCGTGTGAGCTAAAAACAATCCAGCCTTCCTCGGAAAGGGTGGAATCTCGATCACTGCCAGCTTGACCTCCACATCCACTTCACAGAAACTCTGGCTAGCTGGCGGTCCACAAATGGCCTGCCTTTTGTAGAACCAGGTCCCGCCCGCGTTAGCCAAATTGGTCGAGAACCTTTTGCCACAGGTACCCTGACAGTTGAGACAGTCAGACATCTCTGTATCTGGGGCTGAGGCCTATGTGGATTGCCATCAAATATGGCAATATGCCTTAGCACGGCATTCTGCATGTTGCCATGTCGATTGCAGTGCACTATGGGGTGAGGTGCAAATCAGACGACGCCCATCCACAAAACGCCTCCGGCCAAATCAGATGCAGGGTCGGGGCAGATCGGAAAACACAGAAGGCCCAGTCGGAACGCCAGGGAGCGATAACCGGACAACGGCAAAACCGAATCAAAAAGCGAACAAAAGGCTGAAATGGTTGCGCAAAACGAAGGCTAGAATTAGGAATTTTTAGGAGCTCGCACTCGAAATCACCCCCAGAGATCCCCAGAGAAAAGCTCGAAATAAACCCCAAACACACCTCGAAATCAGCGCCCCAATAAAACCTTCGAGAGACCAACAGATGCACGCGATCTCAGAGAAGATGATTTGAAAGTTTGGTCATTAGGTCGCGACCAAAGCTTCGAAATCGACATCGGCCCCGCAAGAAAACTCAAATTAGCGCGCTGACAAAACCTTGGCAAGATCCGATCATTCTGCGAGAAGAAAATTTGAAAGTCTCGTGATTAGGTCATAGAAATTGGCCCCGGAAAAAACAAGCCTCAAATCAGCCCCCTAACAAAATCTAATCTATATGAGTTTAAAACAGTGTATAGTGGCGGAAGAGCCAGATCCCGCTATTTGGCTACGTAGGAACTTTAGAGCTACATTCCCATGTCCAAACAAAATATCTAATATTTGCGCAGATCCTTCTCAAAACAAGTACGCCTGATTTAGAAGGCCCGTGCTTGTTCATAAGATCTGACGTTCTAGCGGATTCTTGTGCTGCGTCTCCCTTCCCGCTTCCAAGACATGATGCCAAAAATTTGAAAGTTAGGTCAAAAGTTCGTGCCGAGGAGAAAAGCTGGGCATCAACCTCCACATAAAAACTGGAAAGCTGCCCCGGAACAAAGTCGCAGCAAGACCCGCCATCGCAGCATAAGATGCGTAAGCAACATCCAGCAATCCAGGCGCTCTCAGACGAGAAAATGTGAAAGTATGTGAAAGTCTAGTCACTAGGTCGTGACCGAAATTCCAGTTCGAAATCAAGCCCACAATAAAGCTCCGTTGCAAGTCTTGTTCTTGCAGCGTAGCCTGCGTGAAATGATCCACACGATCTCAAAGCGAAAATTTGAGAGATTTGCGCTCATCTATTTTCTAATATGCCACCCCCCTGTGTTCCAGCTCGCCGAAATTCGCCGAAGCATGATTCGCGCATGCGACAGTTCCAACTTCCCGAACGCAGCCCTGCATGCATGATGCCATCGTCATAGCTAAGCCACTCTTTGCCACACGGCCATAGCAGTGATTTGCCATAACCTGGACAGGAAGCCACACCAGAAAGCATTCCTTTGTTCCACGCTAATTGCTGATAATAAGACTGCCAGGCCCAAAGTTGAACGGTCCTCCATTTCAAGCTAGTAGGTTTCAATTGGCAAGCTAAAGTGATGCCGCACATATGTCTGAGGCCTGATGGTTTGGACACTTAGACTAAGCATGACGTGCGAATGGCAACATTAGGCAACAATGAGGAGGCCGATGCAGTTGACACTGTGTCTTCCACGAGCAGAGCTCATTCAATCCTCTAATATCCTCTAATGTTTCGCTGCAGAACCTGACCCAAATCAACTGCAGAGTCACCGCATGTGAGTTCGACACATGCAGCTAACTGCCGACAACAACAACCTGGCGCTCCAGCTGCCCTGTCCACAGACACTTCCATTGCTAAGGCTGCGTAGCACATAAGGCACACAAGAAGACAGCACGTTGATGTCCGTTGAGTCGTGGGCTCACATTCTCCATGAGTTAAAACTGTAGGTGCAGGCGAACCTTGCTCGACAGGTTGAATAGCTTGATGAACGCGCCCTCGGAATCCTGGTAATGTGTTGAATCGTCACGTGCACGAGGCTGCGCAGCCCGTGTATGTTATTTTAGGGTATTTTAGGGTCAAATTGAAGGGGCAACTTGTCCTGTATGGTCTCGTAGATTTCTGAATACCTGTTTATTCTCGCGGTGAGATCGGCCATTGCCTCGGCTGCCATGCTAATGCCAGCCAAGCTGTCAAGGTCGCACCTCTTATCCCTGTGAGCTACATCACGTCACAGAGCTTCGGCCTGGTCTGCAGACATGTCTTTGAAGTCTGGACTGTATTTCACCTCACCAGGGCCGGGTGTTGCCGGAAGCCTGGGCAATGAATCCACTGCCTTGGTGAGCATGTTGAACCTCACCACCTGTCAGCATGTTGCCCAAAGCTCTTGCCAAGCTTCGCAAGGCATGCGCCTCATCATCATCGCAAACTGCCTCCACCCAGATCAAGCTGTAGTGCCCATGGGCTTTCACCTGCAAGGATGCGGCATAAGTGATGGTGCTGCCGAAAGATGCCTAGAGTACTTTGAACACTGTGACTTGCTTAAGGGGTTGTAAGGTACATCAAGTCTTTGTGGCTATCGGAGATGTCCAGGGTGCTCGGTACACCCGCAAACGAAGCCAACTTAGGAGTATCGTGTTTGGTGGTTGAACCTAATAAAATAGGATTTCCTTCTCATAAACAGCACTTAAATGAGTATATATATATATATATATCTATGTTCTCTCTACGTTGGGGACCATTGCATCCCTAGTTAAATCAAATCCCACATCAAGCCGTGCTAATAAAGTTCACCCAAACTACCAGTTTTGCTTACTGGCAACTGTGACAGTTTGGGAACACTTTCTTCAGGCCCGAAGTATGCACAGGAAAGAAGCCACCTGATCTGCAATGGATTTTCGTCTTGCAACAGTACCTTGGGGCTTCGCAATGAAACCGCGATCAGCCAATCACATCCAAGGAAAACCATGCAGACTGACGTTTTCTGAGGTGCTGTTCGTTGCATCGAAGATCGCAAATTTACCCCCATCATCGAGGAACTGAAGGGCATCTGCCTTTTTGGGCATCGCATGCTGACAGGGCACTTGTACATGGTGCGTCAAGCTCATCAGAGTCATCCCATAAGTTACAGCTGCTGCCGGAATTAAGGTCTTGACCAAAGCTGTCATGGCCAGTTTTTCTCTGGCAGCCTTAGCTTTCTTTTCAACACTCCACTATCAAGTCTCGAAAGTGTGGTAGCATTCCACTGGAGTTGCGGGACCATGTTATGCACCTCAGGCTGCAGCCACGGAGTCCGGGTTTTGATTGTCAAAGAACTCGCTCCGTCCTGACCTGCATGAAGCGGAGTGTCATGAACGCCACATAGTGATAGGGGGGGAGCCTAATATGTCCTTGTTTAGGTCAGTTGAAACCCATGTACACCCCAGTAGGATTCCAACCGAATTCTGGAAAAGCTTCCAAATCCCTACCTACAACCACTAGCATGCCCACCAAATCTTGCCACTACTTGCCTCTCTCGCAATTCGCCAAAACAAACTCACAAAGAGTACCAAAGAAATCAAAGGGGGCCCGTACTCGGCATGGCAAACGCGCCAACCCCTTCACAAATCTAATTGAATCAAAAACTGTCTCCAGGCGGCAGAAAAAAATCAACGTGGCCTTTCAGGTACTACCGCATCTCTTCGGTACTTTCCTAGGCTCAGTTCAGTCTGTTTCAGAACTCCAGATCCAACGCATCCAATATTTCAGTGCATGTCACAGTATGAGTGCTGGGCTAGCCACCCCCCACCAACAAAATGTTGGAGGCTGTTGGGAGGTCTTGCAGAAATAGCTATGGATAAAGCTTTCAGCTCATTCGTTGAGGGACTTCACCAGGAAGAGAGACCACTAAGGTAGCAGGAGAATTTAATTAAGAAAGGGGATCACATCAGTGCTGGAGCAGAAGCACAAGCGAGGAAAGGTCTTTGATCACAAAGCCCTCACCTCCCGCGCAATCTCTGATTCTGGTGACTCCCTATTCAATCCCCTTGCCTTACAAGGTGTGGGGCCAGCGATGTAATGAATACTGGGCGGGCTTGATCTTCAAGGCTGTTTGCATCCAAGAGTCCCACATTAAAGGTCTTGGTAATGCTGCCACCCCATTTGAGGAAGCGCTCCAACTGCACCATTTGCAGCAAATGTGTGCAGATCTGTAGCATTAGACGGCCATGGTCGTGGCAATGTGCCTTTCGTTCCGATGCTCTCTGACTTGCACCAAGCCTTGCGGGAGATGAAGGATTTTCCTCTGGCCGGCAGGCCCACCATCGCCACTATCTGACAAGACTAATTTGACAGTCGAGCAAAGGAACTGTCTGCCCGAATGAATCTGCTTTGTCTGCATTGACAGTTGTTGAGGGCACTGCTAAACCACGCGCGTCGGGCGTCAGCTGCTCTCGCAGAATCCTGGAGTCTCGGAATGATAGCTAACAGTATACGAACACCATCAAGCCCGCGGCTGGCGATCCGATCTCATGGTGGACATGGTCTGTGCACCGGAATAATACCTCACAACAGTAATGAAAAGGGTCCGGCACCATCAATCTCAACGGCATGGCAGAAACGACAAGTCAGAAGTCATCTTCTATGTCACAAATGCTAGTAGATCAAATGGTGTCACATTGACGGACAAGTATAGGAAAGCAGGTCACGCATCTCCAGCGCTGTCGCCTGCAGTACAGGGTGACGAGAGGCAACACCCAATACGGCCGAGAGCTCGCTACGAAGCCGCTCATGACTCACGATCGTGTGGGCTTACGTTGAAGCAAGTGGAAGCTACGCCTCCGTTGCGCTCATCGAGTGCGGTCATCTTGCGAGGAAGCCGCTGTCCTCAGCCTCGCTTCTCGTCTTCCAATGTCTTCAGGCGTGTCATGTTGGGCATCTGCAGGATGTGCCTCTCTGCAAGCACTGCCGGCAGCACGCCCAGCCAGCTTGCGTTAGGCAATCAGGCTGGCGCAGGCCATCTATCAAAGCAATGCATCGGAACCGCACGTTCTGTGCTGGACTGCGGCGTTTGGGTTTGAACAGCCAGCTTCGCAGACTTGTTGTGCTGCAGTTTCCCAGTTTCATGTCGGCGTCTGCTTCATATGCATCGGCAACATTAAACCAAGAACCTTTACCTATTCGACGAAGTGTCAGTCATCTCGCGCCCAATAGGTTTGGCAGGCCAAGGATGCAGCCTTTCGACGTCTTCATACAAGAGCAGCAGACGAAGCATGACAAGGTGCCCAGGCAGGGGCGCTCTAGGAAGGGCAGGTGCACAAGCCCCGCAGATCGCACATGCATCGCACGTCTAGCTTGAACTCACAGTTCCTTTCACGACTTTGCGATGTTGCTTTTGACAAGCTGCCGCTAACAAATCTTCTGAGGCTGGTGGGATGGACTGCACCCCCCCAAACCACAAGAAATCCTATTCGGCCAATGGCAGGCTGGTGCATCACTGAGCGGCACGGCTCTGAAACAGTAAGTGACTGGCAACCGACTAGTAACTAGCAATTGATAGATGTAGTGGCAAATGTGGTGAAAGTGATCACGCATGAATACTACTTATCCCATTGGGGCCTCTCAGTGCTTGGTCACATGGGAGCCTTGCCAGCTATGTACAAGCTACGGATAATGTCCAGCTGCTCCCAGCATGGAAGATAAAAGCACCTGCATCCTTTCATCAGGCCTACTCCACATTAACAAATAGCTTGGCCACATCAAATGAGCCCAGTTCAAACTTTCAGTGGTGTGCAACTTTGCAAGGACCGGTACAATGGTCCTGCACAGGGCTGGCACTTTTCTGGCAGTTGCTGAGAGCCATACAGAAAGGAGGCTGCCTTGACTGCACATCATGAGAGGTTGGGCTGGATGTCCTTGGCATGGCGCGTTTCTTGTTTTTGCGGAGATTTAGAGAGGGCATGGCGCACCCAACGACTACATAGTCCACATTGCTGAGGCCGGCTCAATAAAGACAAAATATGTACCCTCTCCGCAATCGCTCCCATTCAGATCTAACAGGCCGCTGTCAACAGCCTCACGGACACATCATGCCTATAAGTTTCCTCATCGGCTTATGTCATCCAATGTCCATGACCTTGAAGAACACAGGCCCCGAGTACGGGCCATTGGGAATCCCAGATGTTACGGTGCTATCCATCTGCGTAGAACGCGTCCAAGCACCTCAAACAACTGAATGAACATGGTGGGGATAGGGCATGCGGCCAGCAACAATACCTCGCCCTTGCCTTGCCTTTTTCCAGCCAGTCGCGGGCACATCTGCAATGCATCTCGCTTCGAAAGTTGAGATACACTATGACCTCAACTGAAAATCGAAGCCGCTCTCTTCATCAAGTAGTCCCTGACAAAAGCTGGTCATGGTGCTTAGACATCATCTGATCAGGTTGCTCATCTGGATCAAGCATTCAGAGCAGAACGTGACTTTCTGCCTAGAAGCCGGCATCCGCACATTCAGCCTCCACATTGGCTCTTCAGACGGGGTCACCTCTCAGGAGTAGCCTGCTGCTTTCCCTTCCCAAAGTTGCACAGCTTCCCAAAAAAAACAGTCCTTGTCATCGTTGCTTGTCATAAGATACCGCATGGACGTCTTGTCAGCAAAGCTGCCCAAGGAAATGAATCGGTAGCTACGGTCCTCAACAAGAAGCTGGTCCAGCTTACTCTGGAATGTCTTGCGACGAGTGCCTGACTTTATCTTCATGCCAAGTGCGCCTAGACTTATGATACTTATGTAAGTTCGTTGTTCTAAGGCCACGTCAAAGTGACAACGGTCCCCGCGACCAGGAACCGAATCCAGCAACTTGATATCGCGTCCTGTGAGGGCCTGACCGAGGTGAGAAGATTCAAAAACGAGAAAAGTTGTTGACAAGTGAAGCGCATTGAATAGTTACCTCAGCGGTGACTGCCGGGCCAAGCAGCTTGAGGAACGTCAACTCCTGAAGATCTCATGGCATTGCATTGGATCGGTCAGCTGGATTGCACGCTCTCTGGTCCCTGAGGACAACTCCGTTTCTTTGCTTCTCTCAGTAAGAACCAGACCGCTTCTTGCCACAGAAAATGCTTCAGCCAGCTTCTCTTCGTTCTACGCAAGTAATAGGATTGTAGCGCCCTGGTGTCTATGAAGATTAGGAAGTTTGGCAAGCACTTCATGGCCTCAGGATCTGGACAAGTTCTGGAAGCTCGACCCAACTTCTTTCATGCGGTGATGTCGCTGGTTGGTTCGAGCATTGCGCTGCATTACTGCATGTGGCTCAGAGGAGAAAGCAGGATGCAGCGATCTCTGAGGACGATGCCATCATGGGCTTCTGGGTCTCGGGAGCCAAGTAATCACCTCAAATTGAAAAGCTAAAATGCGCTTCCAACACTGGTCCTGTCTCGATTCCTCTCCCATTGATCTTGAGCAAAACCCGGTTTTGGCTTGGACAAGGCGGGGTACAAAATGGGATTCAGTTTTTTTTCTGTCGACCTTACGGTAGTGAAACCTCGATTTGGATGGAGTCCCCAGGCCACATGGGTCGCATGGAAAGGCATGACCTAAAGGATCTGGAGCTGGCTGCAAGCGGAGCCACTGACACCACACAGCCTTTAGGGTGGTAGTTAAGTTTGAGGTTAAGCCTGGATTGATTTCAAAACGCAGGGTCATGCTGTTGAAAAAGCATTGTGCGAGACCGTCGTTTGCAAAATCTTCCCTTTGGCAGGCTTCCGTTTGGTTGGCTTCATGACAGGGCCTGTAGCCGCCCCAACTCTGCAAGTGCTTAGCCCATGGCAATCAGCTGCGCCTGAAAATTCAGAAGATTTTTTTTGAAGCCAAGAAACCCAGCATCGCTCCATGCTCAAGAACGGTGGTGCCCAAGCAGATCTGGACCAATTCAGCCTCCGTGTCTACCATGGCTCCTTGCAGAAGTCACATACTACAAGCCTCTGCTCGCATACCTTTGCTTCTCCAAAACAGCCAAGGATCGAATCTTCTGCACCAGCATTTTTACCGGGGTCCTCGACTTTGCCTCGCTCTCCTGACGCTCAGAGCCCTGAACAGTACTCTGCCTAGTGCAAGGGGATCTCCTCGAGGAGAATCTCACCACTCATACCTGATCCAGGCATCACTGAAAGCGCGGGATGCAAAAGGTCCAATGTTGTGGACAGGACAACTGCTTGCGGCCTCTAACTACCACAGACACGTTCTCCAAGCCTAGCTCGTCCCATTTTTCCTTGAGGTCGGCAGATTGAAAAAAGACACTCTTCCGCACAAGAACGGCGTCCTGCAAAGCGGGCGTCCGCTTGCAAACCTGCAGCAAGTGCTCAATGGGAGCTTCAAGAAAACAATCAGAGAAATAAGGAACGTACATGTGGACGTGTGAGGTCGAATGGGTGAGGGATCAAAAAAAACAAATAAGTATCAAAAAACAAAAAAAAGATCAAAAAACAATATCCTGGAAAATGGCGAAAGTTTCAAGGATTGGGGCTCGCGGGTTCAAGCCGAGGATCAGAAAAAAAAATGCTGTACAATGGCGAAAGCCGCAAGGATACAAATGATGAAAATCATGCAAAATCACGGAAACTGCTGAAAAGTGGAAAACTACGACACATGCTGTGATGAAAACTGATGAGAAAATTGCGCACAATGATCAAGGAAACATGAAAATTGTGAAAAATCAGAGAAATTAGGATATGATCTCAAACGATGAGCAATGGCAAGCATGGGTTGCCTTCAAAAACCGCGGGGGGTTTGGAAGGGCGCAGCCTCCCCCATTTGCAAACAAAACGAAATCATAAATGTGATCAAAGGTGCTGAAAAAATGGCAGATGATGTAAACTTATACAAATGATGAAAGAAAATCATGCAAAATCACGGAAACTGCTGAAAAAGATGTAATACTACGACACATGCTGTGATGAAAAATGATGAAAAAAACCGCGCATAATGACCAAGAAAACATGAAAATTGTGAAAAATCAGAGACATTAGGATATGATCTCAAACGATGAGCAATGGCAAGCATGGGGGGTGGGGGGGGGGGCGCAGCCCCCCCTCCATTTGCAACCAAAACAAAATCATAAATATCATTAATGTGATCAAAGGTACTCCAAAATGTGGCAGCTGATGTAAACTAATACAAATGATGAAAAATAATGCAAAATCATGGAAACTGCTGAAAAATAATGGAAAACTACGACACTGGCTGTGATGAAAAATAATGAGGAAATTGCGCACAATGACCAAGAAAATATGAAGATCATGCGAAATCAAGGAAATTTCGAAAATGAGAAGCAACCCTGGCAAATGACGAGAACGAAATCTGTTTACAAAAATCATGATACATCATGCAAATGATGCTGAGCGTGATGAAAACTGATAAAAAATGTGAAAATCGATGAAAATCGATGAACAATCCTTCCGTCCTTCTTTTCTTCCTTCCTTCCTTCCTTCCTTCTTTGCTTCCTTCCTTCCTTCCTGTCTTCCTTCCTGCCTTCCCGTCCTTCCTGCTTTTCTGTCTTTCATGTCTTCCTTACGGGGGAGCAATTTCCCGTTGATTTCTCTGCACTAGGAGGATTTTTTGTTTTTTTTTGTTTTATCCTCCCGTGCGCCGGCTGGGGGGGCCGGTTTGCTTTTTATTTCTCTATATTTCAGATTTTGTTTTTGTTTGATCCTTATTTGTGTTTTTGTTGATCCTTATTTTGTTTTGTTTTGATCAATATTTGGTTTTTTGTTGATGCACATCCCTCGCATCGTCAGGTTCAGGGTTTTGGCTTCGCTGCTCAAGACTGGATTACACCCGAACCGCCGCGAAAAAAATCCCAAGGGTGTTTTGTGCGGAAGGCAAAGAAGGTCAACGTGCAAGCGATGTCATTGCAGTAAGATGATTCCACCACATAGAATTGAGAAGGCCTTGTCACGCAGCTGCGCTGCCCGCTCGAGGAGCAGCAAGGGCCGACCCTCAACGCGCACCTGCAAAGGTCGGAAGGCTTGCAGGAGATCATGACAGGTCTGCCTTATGGGCGAATCAAGACCTCAAAGCAGACAGGTCTAGTTTTGTACCGCAGCGACTTGAGATGAAGTTAACCATGCATGCTGGCCGCACACTCCGTTGTCCCAACATTGACCCCAGACACTTCAACAACTGGCATGCAGAACGTGAGCAGCCTCGAGGTCCCTACTGGTACTGTTGGAGCATCAGAGGACAAAGCTCAGACGGCAAGAGGACCCTCAGTTGGCATCTGAGGCCTCCTCACTGTGCCCGCGCAGAATCTGCGCAGCCAGAAACAACTTGATAAATTGATACGGCACATGCAGTTCCGATCGCTGTGCTGCTGTGAAACGCCTACAAGTTTGTTACACGAGCAGTGGTGCACATGCAGCGTGCCGCGAATGACTGTCCTGTTTGCGAGCCTGCCAAGCGGCACGCGGTCGGCAGCGAAGGAGCGCACATCCTGCTCCACCAAGCCTGCGCTTCATCAGCATCAGGACAACGGGACTCTAAACTGATGGTGAGGGGAATGCCTTCCGCACAGACCGTCAAAGTGCCGCTGCATGCTTCCCATTCCTGCATCAGACACGACAACCTCAACAATCGTGCCGCACAGACATCCCATGCGGGCAACACTCAAGTCCTTTCAGCCAGCCGCATATGCAAACCGCAGAGACGTGTGCCAGGAGAAGTAGCAGGCACATGAGAGGAAGCAGCTGCAGTACATAATCGCGCAGTTGGGACAACTGTTCGCCAAACATGTGGCATGGCAGAACTTTGCAAGTGCACAGCAGGCTGTGTCACTATGCGTGATCGTCGGATGGTATAAATGTGTTTTGTCTTGCACGTCCGGTTCAGTGTCTGCGTTCAGGAGACCCAGGCTGTCAAGCACACCGCGCAGAGCTGCTGCCTGGCACGAATCCGGACTCTAACTGAACTGGTCTTCAAGGAACATCTGCTTGAAGCAAGTTCCTGTTGATTCTGGGTGAACAGAACAGGAATGACGTGAGGTCAGGATGTGTCACGCCTATCCCACGCCTTGTCCAGCGCAAACTGCTCCGAGGCAAAGAGTGGATGAAAGATGAATGTCTTTTCAGGTCCGTCTCTGCGCACCTGACGGAGCTGGATTGCACTCCGCCTGGGCAAGGCCCAATCCCATGCAATAAGTGCTTCCAAACTCATATGCGCGGTTGAAGCTCAGAGATCAAAACTGCCTTGAGCAGTGCACGCTTGTCCGGTTCGCACTTGTACCGGGCAAAAGGCTAGAGTTGTGCCAGCAAATGACACTAAGGGATGCAACCTACTCTTCTTACGGTGACAAGTTCACTGATTCCAGAATCTCCCATGCAAACATGCTCAAGTCTCGTCTACCTACATGGAAAACACCGGATGTAAGCAAGTTGTAAGCAATCGATAGCCACAGCTGCGCTGCCTGCACCAACACTCCAATCCAAACATGCCCTTTCAGCAAAAAGCGCTTCTCCAGGCCTCCCGGAGTCGGTTGGTCTGGAGCCACCGCGGCGGCAGAATGCAGACTTGTTCAGAAAACCAGGGATGTTGCAGTCGCTCAGGAGAAGGCCTCACGGAAGTGTGGAAGTGTTGAACTCCGTCAGCACCAATCAATGTCATCTCACAGCATCGCCGATTCAACAGCTCTTGCTCGCGGACTTTAGGGCTTTTGTGCCTGGCTCCCAGCTCACAGGCTTCCACGAGCAGCTTCACTAAGGCTGACTGCTCCTTAGCACTGGTCAAAGCAAGGTGCACAACGCATGATGCAGCAAAAAGCAATCACACACCAACCACTGTGTATATGTCCGAGATGCGTAGTACGGCTTGCAATGGTGCCTCCGCGACAGGTTTCCATCCCATAGCAATCGAAGCAGCGTAAGCGTCCATTTGGACCTGCCGTTGATGCGAGCAGTAGAAAAATTAGAAAAGCAAATCTTCCCGCCGGCCAGAAATTGTACCCCAATGCGTCCCTTTGATTCAAACTGAGAGCAGGCGGTGATGTGATGCTGGCTGTTAGTGTCTGAAAAAACAAACACCCGCTCCGCAGCCTGTTGCGTGCACGCTTAAAAAACACATCTCAATATCTCTAGATCGATGCAGCCAAATTGGCAAGGATAAGGGAACCAGGAAGGCCTACAATAACTGACAACGGCCAAGCCTCTTCAATATCATCACGCCGCAATTGATGCGGCATTCTGCCGACAGATCCTGCTGCGTTGGGCACATAGCTGTGCTGCAACACCATGCTTTGCAGGCTTCAAGGTAAAACGGTGGCAGCAAACACTACACCCTCTACCCCTCGCCACGTTGGACTATGCGGAATCGCGATGTCAAGGCTTTGTTGCTGTTCTGCGCCCTTAAGCTATACCACGATCTTGCATACCACATGGCACTGAACTTCAACATGAAGCAGGCTGCAAAAGAGCTAGGCTTGCACGGAGATTGCGAAAGCAACATTGCTCATTGCAATCCTCCTGCAAGATCAGGTGGCGGCCTTTTGCCTCAGGCATCACTTCAACGTACTTCCGCAGTTGTGACACTGCACCCCGGCATTGTTGATACACCAGCTGCTGCACATCTTGCACGTGCCGTAAAGCACCCGATTCTATGCAGCAAGCCATGCAGGCCTGATGAATGAAGACGCTGAGGGCTTTGTTGTGGTCTAGAATGGCGGCGTCACCATCAAGCCAAACAACATACTCATGGTCTTCTGCGCTCTCGAGCACTCGCTTCAGCATTAGCACCTTCCCACACAATCTGCATGGAAACACTACCCATGAAGCCACTGCAAGACACTGCAGGCAGATGCAGGCAACCTTGTACCAGGTGCAAGCATCGCGCGGGGAAATAACATCCAGCATCTCCTCCTTGGTCAAGACCTCGCAGACGAAGGAGTAGCCATGTCGTCTAGCGTACCTGAAATCAGACGAGCAAAAGATCCCAACAGGTTCCGCAGCATTTGTCGAACACCTTGCTAGTTCTCAGCCAAGGTGCGCGCGGTTGACTGCCTGACAGACTTCTCCCGGAGCATAATTTGCTGAGTATGCCATTGTAAGAATGACATTCTTGCCTGCAACATCAGAAAACACATGTGACGACGCAGCCCTAAGACTAAGGCAGCTTCCTTGAGCATCCTTATTATGTCAACGCATGTGCATTCAGTGCGGCATGCAGCCCATGCTCCACAAATGCATAGTCTTCTGGGGGGATGCCATTCGGCAGTCCTTGTTCTGCATCAGTGCAAACATTCTTGACAGCTTGGAGGATCCCACGAACGGTGGCATCTGGCCTCTGCGGCACAAACATCAAATTAAACAGCTTACCGGGCGAGCTCAAGCATAGCTCAAGCATTCCTGCCTTTTGTCATGCAGCACCTTGAAGATCATCTCGGCATCCCTTCGCAACACAGGGCCTCAGCATTGCATGGGCTACACAAACTGCTGCGAGACAATGCATGGCATTTTGTGCTATGAAAATCTGAGAAGTATGGCATGATAGTGGGGTCTGGTGCGGTAGCATTAATAGGGCAGCACTATGCGACCAGCTTTTGAGCATGAGCATCAGTCAGACCCCATAGTAACATCAAGGCATCTTAGATCCATCACTGGCCGGAAGTGCATTTACAGGTGTCGATTCACCATTCTTAGGCTAAAGCGCTCATCAATTTTCTCTCTGGGCTGCTGGGTTGCTGCGGGGTCACGTCCGAGCTGCATGGAAAATCGCTCTCTGAATGATTCGAAATCGAAGTTGGCGACATCTGATGCAGGGAAGTCACTCAGAGTTGTGCTAGTTGTGCTTGTCAGAACAATTGACTGTTGCAAACTCACTCCAAGCGCAGGACAGCGCGCATCCACACTATCCCCACAACACAGCAAAAAGGCAACACCCAAACGCAGGGGTTTCCTGCCTTCAGATTCGAGCGCCTGCACAATGACAGGCTCTGTGAGCACCGGGCTCTCAGCCTGCAACACATATTATCATGCGCGGGCTGTCGTTGTGTCATACATGATGTACATGGCAGCTTCCCAAGATAGGGGGACCCCCTATCGAACCGAACCCAGTATAAAATGATCCTGATGATGGGGACCCTCAAAGGCTACCCCTAATTATGGGCAACCCCCACATGCTGCTTCCAAGTTGTTGCTTCCATGCCTCGGGCCTTGGGCTCCAGAAGAGTGGCCTTTATGGATCGCACTTCGAGCTGTAGTCCTGCCAGTTAAAGGGGGAATATGGACTACATTACTTACCGGTGGTTTGTAGCGAACCAGAGAAAATAGTCCCTTATTCCCTGCTAACCCCCGGTTAGATAATTATAGATTGTGGGAAGGATTGCGTTCTGGCTTGTCCTCTACGAAGCTGTTATACATTGATTGACATGCAAGGCAAGCTCACGGGTCTGGGACCATTGCTTGCTGGTTCTTAGTAGGGGACAAGGGAATATAGTAATATAGTATATAGAGGTTTATATACGGATTATACTCCCATATTCCCTATTAACAACCAATAAGATTTGGAAGCCCTGGACGCTTATGTCATCGCACTCTGGTGATTCAGCTTGACTGCTTGATGCACACCTAAAAGCATGCGCCACCGGAGCAGCAGCATGCAACAGCTACTGTGTGCAAGTGCAGTCCTTGAGCTTCAGCCAACTGCTGCCAGAGGTCTTGCTCTGCTTCAAGTGCCAGCGTGGCCCCTGCGAGCAATCTCACCCTCTGTGATGCAAGGCAAAGCTGAATGCGGATGCCGGCCCCAAAACAACACAAACATGTCTGACACAAGCTGAGCTTGCTTCATTCAGAGATTGCCACTACAAAGCTCGCACAGCGCAGCACAAGCTAAATATCGTCACCTGACTCGGGAGGCAAAATGCGCTTTTTACATCGTAACGACTCGCCTTCTTCAGCCGCGAAATGTACAAAGCCCCAGCTTTCATGCAACGTCGCAGTGCGGTCCACCACACGTACCTGCGCGTAGCTGACAAGTTGCTAGCGTCTGTTAGTTCTGTCATGCCGGCTGCTCAACCCAAAAGCTGCACAAGTAGCCGTCAACAAGAACCGGCAACAACCTCTTGCGCTAGAAATCCTGTGTGACTCCCACATCTGAGACTTTCTACAAAATCACTTTGAGTCTGGGTCAGGCAGATCAAGTCTGCAATATCCATTGGAATTCAACGTGGCGGAGAACTGGCAGCTTTACACATTGCTCACACTTGTCACGTGCACTGCGCCGAAAGATTTGGTTTTCAAAACCTTCCCAATGTGTTTTTTGAGACGCGTGCCCACACATCTTCCACGTTGCCGAAGGAGCTGCAGATGTTTCGCAAAACCGACCTGACTCAGGGTTTATGGACTAGCGCGTGGAGTCTGAACACTCTTTCCACTTTGAAGTTCTCTGCTACATACCCTTAACCCCTAAACCATAAGCCGCACGAAATCCCAAGCCCTGAAGCCTAAATCTTCAACCCTGACTTCCTATGTTCCCAGATGCTGCCAGTAACGCCCCTCCTCCTCCTTCTTCCAGCTGAGGAGCTTCTCGGCCAGACCCAGCGGCAGTCCACGCAAAAAAATCCGATGCGGGCAGCAGGCCTGTGCCCAAAAGTGCTTATATAAGGACTATTTTGGGTTAGCCCAATACTGGAGAATCGAATGGGAAAGGACATGGAAAATGAAATAGAAATTGGCTCAATGTATGTATTGCTGGGGATTTCTGAAGCATGCGCAGAGGGGCTGCAGAAGAGGCTGCAGATGCGAATGACTGCCTCGATGGTGCTCTGCAAATTTAGTAGGCATTAATGCTGCAGTGATGTGTGCTGTGAGATTGGCAAAAAGCCACTAGCTATCTCTGATGCTCATGACTTTGGTAGAGAAAGCACACTAAGTCAGCTGGAACACGATTGTGATAAGAGTGGCAGGGCGTTGGTGAACAGCATGGCTCCACAAAATTGACGCCAAAGGCTTCGATGCTGTGCAAGAAGATTAGCCATGGCTGGAGGACGTTACAGTACAGAAAACAAAGACATCCTGTGCATGATGCCTAACTTCGATAACTGGGCAGTGCAGAGCTGGGTCCAGCCTGGACGGCGGTCATGGCACTGGCGCGACATGGCTATCCACAAGGAGAAAGCCCAACGGACCGTACAGCAAATCCGCAGAGCATATTGCGAAGTGCTGTCAGCTCTTGCCAACCACTTACTTAGACTGCTTGGCCTGAGTCAGCCAATGCTATGCATCGCATAGATTGCTCCAGATGGCAGCTGCCAGGCGCCAACACCAGGTGTTTCAGCAAGACGTAATGACCTAACCTTTTTTGTTTCACCGCAGCGACTCATAGAAGGTCTGAGCCAGATCTGCCACCTGTCTGTGGCAGGACAAGAGAACAACCCGCTCCCCGCAGTCAAGTCTCAAGTCCCCACAGAATCACTCTGCTTACTGTGCAAAAACAAGAGCAGCCACCTACAAGGTATACTTAGAATTCCGAAGGTGTGCCAACAAAGCTCCAGCCTCTTCATCGCAAACTCCATGAGTCATGCCGGCATAGGCACGGAAGGTCGTTCTGCCCAAGTCTAGATCTGTTTGTAAACGACATGTCTACTCCGCATGGTCCGCCCCAGCCTAAGCCCAGCTGCCTCGAGACGTGCTCTGCCCAGCTCAGCAGTGCTCAAGGGCACCTCTGGAGATCTTGAGACAGTGTTGGAATCCATGAGGTCCCATCAGCTGCAAGCTGGGTTTGACACAACGGGGTCCTCCGCACCGTGGAAGATGTGCACTGGCACATCCTGCAGCCGACTTCAGCTACACCTTGCTCTGGAAAAGCCCCTCAGACCTCTCCTGCCGGCTCTCTCATCAAGGGGACTGGTCATAAAGAAACCCCATGGTTTAAGCATCACTGACGTGGCAAGATCCTGGAAGTCGTTAGGCAGCGGCTCTGCTACCTGACTGCGAACTGCGATCCGCTGCATGGCAAGATGTGGCATCCTTTGGTGGACCTTCCGTGTCAAGGCTCAGAGGCTTAGAGCCGAGCCCACGAGCTCAGCATCAGGACCTTGGACATCTCTCATCTCTCATCCTCATCCCATGCTTCCTGCCTTGTTTCATTTTGCAGAAACAGCCTGTTTACAAAAGATTCTGCAAGCATCTGCAAGCGGCTGCGTAGCAGCTTAGCCGCTGGCGCCCCCCAGACGACGCGGAGCCCGCAAAGCCGCTGCGAGCGCCAGGCCACCACCTTCAAGAAAGCTTCACCTGCTTGCCTCTTCCTGTTAGGGCGGTAGCCCATAGTCTTGATGTGAAATTGAAGTCAGCGATGCTTGTGCTTGCAAAATCAACCAATGGTAAGTAAAACCATGGCGCTTTTACTCTTTGCCGTGTGTGCTTGGTCATGACAGGTTGGGCAGTTGCCATACCTCCCACACTAGGAAGCAAGAGGCGGAAACAGAAAAAAAAAACAAATGGCACGGTGACGCGCCACGGGGCTTCATACCTGCAATACGGCTTCTTCCGTGAAACTTGCGTGAAAAACCTTCTGGCCATCTTCTTGGAACTAGGGTCCGCTGACACAACCAGTTTCTGAGAGTTGCTCAGGTATGGCGTTTCTATCCACGTCTAGCCGGGCCTTGGGAATATCCCACCAAGAAAACGCGGCTGGGAGGAATTCCTCGACGTACCTCTCACGGATTCTAGCAGCGAGACAAGCTGGATGTTTTTAATGCCGTGCCAGCTCCCAGCCATGTCCATCTCAACACGAGCATGAGTGAGCAATAAAGAAAATTATCGGAATCCAACTGCGACAATTGTGTTCCAAACATTCCCACTTGTCGCATATGATGCATTGAAGCATGCAAGATTCCAATGGCGTCCTGTGAAAGATTCGCGGAAGCATTCCCAACACCTCACAACTACTTCTGCATGTCGCTGGCGCAAACTCCTCAAAGCTACTTCTGCATTCTGCTGATGCTGCCAGGACATGTCACGACTATGACTGCTATGACACGTGCTTAAACACGACAACCAGGATGACGACTGCCACTACCAATACTAATTTGTAGTACTACTAGTATTGTTATTGTTGAATATTGTTATCATTATTGCTGCTCCTCCTACCCCTCCTACTGCTACTACCGCTGCTAGTCTTAGTACTACGACTCCTACTCATACTCGTACTTCTACTCCTATAAACTCCTCCTACTATACTACCACCAAATCCCCTCGACTGTTGAGCACATGAGTTGTAAGAAGAATCAGAGTCTTAAAGCCCGTTTGCCAAGGACCAACGATACTGAGGCGAGCCCGGAGAGCCCATACCCAGCAAATTTTCGGAGCTGTCATCAGCTTCAGCCGGTCATGTGGGCATTCTGCACCTGCTGAACAGCGCTGTGGTCTCCATCCAGTTTTACTGGGTAAAATTTTGCTCAGGTGTGGGGCTGTCTATCTGGCCAGTCAACCTAGCAATTTCGGGAAAAAAAAATTGGAGCGTCCCAGCCTTGCGAATCCTTTGCGGAGCTTTGCGCGCTTTCTTCGCCGGAGCTTCTTCAGCTTTGATTGGTATCCTCTTCCACTCAGGAGTCGTACCAATTCAAGAGTACCTTTTGCACCTAGTAAGCTTGGAAAATTTGCCTTGCAACATGCAGTCCTTGCAGCCACATCGCCTTGTGTTGGCCGTGGTATGGCGTGAAATGCCTGCAGAGCACGCTCCAAGACAGAGCGCTGATGATTTCTCAGGCGCGTTAAAAACGCACCAACCTTCAGATCTCTCGCAGTATGATCCGTGGCAGTGAGCAACTGTACCATCAGCTGCCCGTTTTGTCTGCAGCTCGACAGACAGAGCCGGATCAGATAGGAAAACGGGTCTCAACAGCAACCCTTCGTGTCAAAGGGTCAGTGTCATTGAACTCGAATTGCTGCTGCGATGCGCGGTCTGTACACAAAACCTCTGCCCCAGAGCAGACTTACAAAACGCACATATGGCGTGCAAAACGTGGCTGGCCACAGAACCCGTTGCAACTGAGAAGCTAAGTTGCATGGGATAAAGGAAACTAAACAATTCAAAATTGCCATCTAGCTGTGAGGAGACTAGAAGTTGAGAATGGTTTCCTCCTCCTCTTCACTTTGAAGGCCTCTGCATCCGCCATTTCCGACCGTCGTCTGCTTGTCCAAGCTTCCTGGACCACTATGACCACTTGCGTCAAAGTGCTCATGAAAGGTTCCGGTATCGCTGGAGGCAAAGTGGAGCGAGTACATGTCAACGGGCACTGGAGGCGGTGTTTCCAGGGCGTCAAGGAACGGCTTCGAGGCATACATGGCCGCCGTGCCCAGCTTCTCTGGGTGGTCCTCAATGCTGGGTGGCCTCAGCACCATGACTTGCTGCCGAATCCGCCCACCCTCACTGAGCATGTACTGTGGAGGCATGGCCACCTTGGCACTCCGGCGGTTCATGGCCAAGAGCAGGAGTGCCAGAGGTGCCGAGTTCCCACTTTTGCAAAGAGCTGCTTCAAGCTCAGAGAGGCTGAAGCCTTGAAGCACGTCGTAGTAGGTCTTCTGGCGGTTCAGGAAGTTTTGCAGGATGGAGGCATCTGGCTCCTTTGCCGGGGCCACATGGGCCGATGCCGCGTCCACTCGCATAGCGAGGTCCTGCGACAAGTTACGGCGAGCTTGGCGGACAAGGATGCCGACCCGCACAGCGACCTTGAAAAGCTGAGCACAGCGAAGTCCTGAAAAGCCTGCCACATCCGAGTAGAGCTTTGCCGCTCTCATGAGCTGAAGGTACTTCGGAGTGTGACCGGTCTTCTCCTGCTCTTCTTTGAAGAGGCAGAATTTTGTCAGGACGTCGCAGTTGCACAGCTCCAGGTAGTAGCCATCAGGATCGCGAACAAAAAATTGCATGATCTTTCCCTCACTGCTCTCGAAGCACTCCACCATGTTGTCCCTTGCCTTCTTGGGATCTGGAACGGAGACGTTCTGCCGGAAGGGCACCTCGAACTCAATCAGCTTCTCCAGCACCTTCTCCGGGTAGTCCGTCTCCAAAGCCAAGTGTGACACGATGAGATCTCGGCCAGTTGGCGCATTGGGTACACCTTTGATAAGATGAAGTTCCAAGTTCCCCATCGTCAGCCAAGCTCCGTGGCGATCGAAGTTGGGCCTCTGAATCTGTTGGAAACCGATTATTTCCGTGTAGAAGGCCAAGGAACGGCCCACATCTTTAACGATGATAGCCATGTGGTTCACCTTTCGGATCAAGTCCCCCATGCCGCGTCGCTGGATGTCTGCGTTCCAGTGCAGAAGCTCCTGCGGAACAGCCGCCGGTGGTTGCCGCTGCACCCCCATCATCGACCGCACGAAGACAGCCACCAAGATATTGCTGGCAACGAGAAGGGCAGCATCAGCATGGTCCAGGCGAAGACTCGAGATGAAGTAGACCCCAACGAGACCCAAAAAGCCGAAAACGCACATGTTTCGTTCTTCAGCCATCGCAAGGTCAGGTCGCTCGCTTCAGGGGCAAGGAAAAAAAAGCTCAAAATCTGCGGTGCGGAGTCACATCAAATGAGTGGCAGTTGCAAAGGAGAAAAGCCTCGCAGCTTCTGGGGGCCTCTCGGACGTCGACATCCACTTTCAATGCCTCCACCTGGCAGACAAATGCAGATCAGAGCGGTAGCTGGGAGAAACGGATGGCATTGTTACACGCTCTAAATCCCTCTAGCTGTCCAGGAAGATTGCAAAGAAAACTTTGGCATCGCCTCTGGTTCGAAGCAGGAGAAAAGAACATCGCCCAATGGCGACCTACAGAAGCAGAAAAGCTGAGTCGTCACTTGCCCACAACTTCCCTTTACCCCAGCTGGCTCGGCTTGGGTTCTTTGGTAAGGAACGCTCTAGGCAAGATCGAGTTCCTAAACCTTAACACTCAAGGAGCCGTGCAAAAGCCATAAGCGAGCCGAGACAATCACAAGCCAAAGAAGCAAACCATTGCCTTTCTGCAGGAAAATGTATCATGCTAGTCTCCTCTGTCTTTCATTCCCTTCAAGCCGAAGTCAAGTTTGACTGCAGCTTGAGAGTGCTCAGGACATTCATCACGCGGAAACTCTGTGGACCAACGGACCAAGATAAAAGAAGTGGCCTGAGGGTCAGCGGTAGAGGACGGGGAAGAGGTCTTCAGAGGAGAAATTTGCAGCAGGATGCAAGAGTCCATTGCGTCTGAGAGGCACATCAGCCGTTGCGGCAGTGGCCTGCCAGCTGGACCCCTTCGTGGGGGGTCTCCGTAACAAGGACTCCAACCTACATGAAAGTGCCCATTTCACAACCCCGTGTGTGCGCAGCTTGAACGACAGCCAGTTAGAGGACTGGTAACTTTGATACGGCTACATGCTTTACATGCTTTGCATGGAGGCTCGCATGGGGTGCTATGCTTCAAGGCCCCGACCGAATTAACTGATGAAGTGCTGCTTCGGCGAGTAGGCTTGCGGGAGATTTTTTCTTCCTTTTGCGGTCGCACCTGATCTAGCTTGCACTGAAGTCGACACCGCTTGCAGCACTTCTCATCAATCTGCTCAACACAGAAGCACAGGTTCAAGCCTTTTTTCTATCATATTGTCTGCCAGCTTGTATGACTTGGCATGATTCTTCCAAGACAGAGAAGACGATTTATTCTGAAGGTTCTTCAGCGAATATCCATGTTTCCATGATTCTGATAAGCTCCCCGCGCTGCGCACGGTCTTGGAACCTGCAGACTCGGAAAAGTGACTGCACTGTGGCCGAACCACTGCGATCTCAGACAATTGTGGCAAATGGGCGCGAGAATCAAGGCTTGCATCTGCATGGCTCTGATCTTAGGAAGGCTCAGTGGAGCAGTGAGGCCTCACAAGTGAACATCTCATACACACCCCTTTCACCTTTCACGTAGTCTGGATGTGCGCTTCCAAAGCTCGCCATAAAGGCCATGTCGCAACAAAGGAACATGCCCGCAGCACGGCCGCAGCGTAAGACGTTGGTTTAGACGTTGGGTTTCTCCAGTCTTGGACAAAGCTGGGCGATTGATCACCAACAACAATCCCTGGTTTAGTTCAAGTATCGAATGACCCCTTCGGATCACAGTGAAGAGAAATCCCCATGTTGGATTTGGCAAATGTCCGAAACCCTTAGTTAACCCTTTGAGTTGTTTCCATGTACTTTTTCATTATTCCATGCGATTCTTGATAACAATACCTACAAACCTCCAGTCGCGGACCTCGAGTCGCGGAAAGCGGCTTTTGACCCCTACATGCCCTCACCCTACTGCCTCTCTGGCACCTGACATGGTAACAGGCCTTGCAACAAGATCAAGTAAGACGCCGACTTATGAGCGCCTGGATATCATCCAAAACACCGGGGTAGCACCTGTCATGAGCTGCCAGAACAAAGTGTGATGTGGCGTGGTGTATGCCAGCCTATCTGCCGGGACCCTCCGAAAAAATTTGGTTATGCGTTCGCTGGGAGCCCACGACTGATAAGAAGCAAAGTCTCATATTCAGGGCCTCTCTAGCCAATAGCATCAGTTGCTCAGCTCCTTGCTGCGCGAGCTCCTCATCCACTACGACTCCCGAGCCGTCGCCTTTTGCTGAGGCGAACGTCTTCTTTCCACATGGGGATTCTGAATATCGGAGGTGCTTTGTGTTTGTGCTGCATGTCGAAGTTAAGCGATACTTCTCCTCCTCCGATTCTGCCCAGTATTCAAACTGGCAGACGGGCGTTACTGTCTTGGAGTTAGGCATGCTGGAGTTTGAGTAGAAGTGGAGATGCACAGAAAGCAGCTCTGATACGTACAATTGAGACAACATACAGAGCTCCATGCTGAAGAGGGATTGATCACAGCAAGTGCACCTTCAGAGAAAGCTCAGCCATGCGAAACCTACTTTTCTTTGTCTTCTTCTACTACTACTACTACTACTTCTACAACCTCCTACTACTACTACTACTATCCCTACTATTACCGCTATTACTACTATGACTACTACGACTACTTTTCCTACTCTTGCTACTATTTCTGTTAGTATTCCTATTTGCTACTATTTACTACTATTACTACCATTGTTGGTATCGCTGGAATTTTGGACACCTTGGAGCCTGGCCTGACAAAGCCCCGATATGCGCGCGGCAGCTTGTCCAAATACTTATATAGGGGTAGTGGAAGAGAAAATGGAAGCTACTATGTTGGGGCTCCCCCATTTTGGAAAACATCCATTTGGCATGTGACCCGCCTGCTCGGAGCAGGTGGAGGAGGTCTGTACTGCTCTTCACGAAGAACGCAGACCTGAAAATGCATTAATCCCTACAAAGTCCTGCGTAACATCATCCCTATGTAACCTTGTTTATAAGCCACTATATAAGTCTAGTGTCCATTTCATTAATTGTTCATCGTCTTTGCCACTTCATTCCTTGTCTTAACTCCTAGTATCCCCCTTAACTATCCCTATATTACTCCCTATATAATCCCTCTAGAACAACCCTCCTTGAGGAGTTTAGACGAAAGCTCATTTGACTCTAGGATGCTCAATGGAGTGCAGAAAGACGCCTGGCCTTGCGAGCTCATCCTTGTCCTGCCAAGACACCCACTACTCGAATCAGGTTTCCATGTTCTTTTCCACTGTCCCTGTAGAACCGCAATATACTGTAGTAGTTTGCACTTTTGCATTATCCCTATATACCGGTCCTACTGGATACACGAAATGCTGCTGAGCCGCTGGCGCAGTCACCATGTTTATTCGTTTGTTACGGACCAAAGGAAAAACTGACAAAGCAGGCAGACTTGAAGACACCTTTAAAATCACGTGCCGAACACAGCCAAGCAGCTCTGATCCTACCTAGCATGATCGCCTGCCTGTCGCATGAGTGCCACGAGGCATTAGACTTTTTCCAAAGACGACTGAAAGAGAATGCAAAAGTCACCACTGCGTCTGCCCTCTTTAAGGCAACCTTTCGTGAAAATCCCCAGGCGTGTGACCATTAAAGCTGCCAGCCGCTGCAGATCCCAAAGCTCATCACAAGGGCTGCAATGAACTGAGAGCAAACAGGACCATAGCCAAAGAGCATCAGGAGTTTGAAGACAACCGCTTACATGTGACCACCACTGCAGCTGGCTCCTCGTTTTCATTCTCGCCCTCTCTGTGGCTTTGATCCTGCAGAGTTTCGGGCGTCTTGAGCAGATTCGTGTCGATTCGACTCTAGCAGTGTTATGCACTGTTGCATGCAAGGACGGCCATGCTACAAGTAGCTGGGCTGATCAACCCTGCCTGCCGCAGCAGCTTTCGGGCCCAGAGAGGCTGTTCATCGGCACTCCTCAGACCAGCCTGCCCAGGCTTGAGCCCGCCCACCCCTGCATATGCCTGCATGTTGAACACACAACATATCTCTACCAACTCAGCCGGGATACCAGCAGAGCACCATCACGCTTTGAGGCCATCGTGCCACGTCTAAGACTGTCATAACCGTTCAAATGTTGTTTTCCATTGAGTCGCTTTGCAAAATGATGACTGCTCGAACATATTCAGCTTGTTGGTGGAAACTCTTGCTTCATGTTTAACCCATGCATGAACATTCCATGACCTTGTGCAGTACGCTGAAAGCAGAGCTCAGGCCAAAATGATCACGAGCTCTGCCCAAAACTCATCCTTCCAGGGCTACAGCTCCCTTTCCTTGACGATCACCGGTTTCCTAACTACTGCTGGAACAGCGTAGTCCGTGCTGGAGGGCACATGCGGCTCGACCAAGTTCAAGACCTGACCTGACCAGGAAAATTGAAATCGTGCTACTTGCTCGACATCCGTACGTCAGCCTGCGCTCTCGAGCAGCCCAGGTGGAGACTCTTGCCTTCCCAGCTCGAGTTGCCATCTGCTTGAGGCCATAACGCAAAAGACAATCAGTCGAATCTGTGTGTCTGCAGCTCACGGAAAAAGAAAACACTTCGGCGCCAAGTGCAGGAATGCTCAAGACGATGAAAAAGGCAATTCTGAAACGTCCGGAAACCACCAGAAAAAATTGAAGACGAATTTGGTCGAGACGTGGCCAGTCCATGCTGACGTGCTTTTTCAATTGGATGGGCTAGTCTTGCCAGAAAGTAGAGCTACCTAGTAGAGCTGGCGACAGCACAATCAGGTTAGCCCAATTCAAGGAGGGGGGTATAGTTGTCTGCTTCTTTGATTTACAAGTAGCTCCTCTCACACTTACATTGACTGCGTCCCAGAACTATGTTTCAGACGCTCGCTGGCCCATCTTTCCGGTGCCTGGCAATTTCATCCGGATCAAGGGTTGGCACATCATACCTTAGCTTCGGCAGAAGGTCGTTCTTCCAGCATTCCTCTTCCGGCAAAACTAGTTTCCCCGAGTGCTTGATGCCAAGTCGAGGACCAAGATGGCCGCAACCCTTTGCTGCCAACACCTCTTGTCATGAGCACTGTCAGCACTACGTGGCAGAGGATCTCGGTCACAAGCCATGCTGGAATGAGTGACCAACAAACCTCGAAATGACTTCAGCTTCTCTGCTAATGGTTCGGTTCGTACCTCACCACTTACTTTGTCGTTGTGACGGTACGGCACCTTTTGATTTCAGCCAGCGGGCACACGGCATATCTACGCGCGTACAGTGTTGACGACTCACTGGCATAAAAATTCGACCCCTAACCCCCGGCACCTCGGAGTGGCGCTGTGGGAAACAGGAACCGCAGCATTGGCAAGCCTTAGAATATCCCCGCCCCAGTCAAGTCAAAATTCCAGCCAAAAAGATTAGATGCGGGACACGCTGACTGTTCTAGATCATGCATCCTTCTGCCCGTTTAGCCTCTCAAGGCAAACTGTATGGAAAATGTTGTGAATCCGCACTAACATCCTCGTGATCCGCAGCAGTAGCATGCTGCTATGCTACTACACCACGCCTTGTGAGTTCAGCCCTCGGCCCATTTGCTGCAAGGCCGGCGCCGTCGTTGACCAACCTGTTTCAGGTTAAGAGGACCTCTACCTGGACTTCACTGCTCGATTGAAGACTGCCTTGTCCAGTGTCACCGAGGCCATGCAGCCAGACCTGTGCAATCTCTGCAATCTCGAATCTCACAGCTGTACTGATGTCCAAAACTGAAGTGTGCTATCCTCGGCCGAGCAACCACGAGCGCTTCACCCTCTGATTGCACTGGAGGCGTAGTGAGAACCTGTGACTGAGACACTGCATCAAGCACGCCAATGGGCGTGGCAAGCTGTGTTCTTGCTGAAAGAAACAAAGTACACCATGTACACGCTTATGGTCTTGCCGCCTCTTCAGCTGCAGCGCTTCGTCTGTAAATGCGTCGAAGGATTCTCCGCCCTGCGCGCGGACAAGCTGAGATAGGCTGAGGGTGCATCCTGGCACCTCCCAAGCTGCTAAGCCATCAAGCTGCCTGCCAGTCCGCAACCGGCGACTCGCAAGGCAAAGCCACCCGAAGACTGGTGGAAGGCCTGACGGTATTCACCATTCAAGTCACTCGCATTGTTCTGATCTGCAACCAAATGCTGATGATATCTTGTACAGTGCCAAACGGGCATGAGGTGGTGCCTTTCTTTTCTTGGCGACATTGCAGAGCCGGCTCCTGATTCTTCTGATCTGGCCATGTCTTTCTCACAGTACGCAGCCAGAGCCTTGAAGGCCAATGCTCGACAAAGCTCGCTTTTGGCCACCCGACCTTGGTTCCTATTCACAGTTTGAGCGAACTCGAAGCCCCACTGACAGAATAAGCTATTGGCAAGCTAAGGCCTACACTGCAGATTCCATCGACGCTCGTAGGTTCTGATGCGGACCTGTCCTGCTAATGTGTGCGCTTCCAATTTCTGCACCTACTGACCAGAAGTTGTTGCTGGACTGCTTGCTGGTTTCCACAGCAGCATGGTTATGCTTTCTAATCTGAGCATGCACGGCTTCAGGACACGAGCAGACATCGACTTAGGCATCTGTTGTGTTGCCAGGCCTGGCAGATGACAGGACAACATTGACCTGTGCTTTTCATGCTGGACAGGTACTTGGCAGCTTTGGCCAAGAGGGTCTTAATGCATCTCTAATCTAGCGCTTTGGTCTTCGCATCTGCAAGGCAACCTTCAGCAACGTGTCGGTTCCTTTTCTGCATTTCCTTGCAGCCACTTCCTATGCTTTAAAACCACAATGACATGCTGCATCAGAGGTAACCTTCAGAGCGACTTGGCTTCATTGCGCTCATTGCGCTTGCGAGAAGCAATCCATCTGCAGACTGGCCCTGGGAGGGAGCACTTTAAAAAAATCACAGCAGCACGATGCTGAATTCTGAACATCCAGGCAAAAAAGGCCTTCGAACCTATTCTGACAAGGAGCGCTCTGGCGAAAGTCCATCGTCTGGGTTCTCTTCCGTCTCGCTCGGCTGTTTAGCAGTCTGTGCTGATCAGACAACGCCTCATGCAGATGTGCCATGTGATTGAGGAGAAGCCACTTGCTGTGAAGCTCCAACTGCTGCAAATGTTGAATGGAGCCGGCATGAATGCATAAACAACCCACGTCGCCGTCGTGCTAGCATGCATCCGTGAGGAAATACACCAACAGAGACGCCATCATCACCTGCCTCTTGGATGCGTTGCTCCGCAAACCGATCAGCCCGTTGTGCACTTAGAAGCTCATCGGCTTGCTCCTGGCAGAACTGCTTAGGCTTGCCGAATCTCGTTGTCTGGACTCCCAGCCTTCTTGAGCAGCTCAGACTTCTTTTGCTCCTTGCGTGCGAGCTGCTCCTCGCATGTGGCAGGTGGGGAGGTCGCAAAGGGCTTAGGGCAAGGTGTGCGGCATGTTTGCAAACAGAACGCTTGCGTCCTGAGATTGGCGCAGGATCACTAGGAGCTGCTGCATCACGCCCTGACCACGTCTGCATTGATTGGAAAGAAGGCCTTGCGCACTCGCCTCCTTTTGCGCAGATGCTTCGGGAAGGGGCTGATGCCGCAGGTAGCAGTACTCCTGCCCAACCTGGCAGAGGCAATGGGGTGCGCACAGAAAGAGCTGCATTTTTCTGTGCCTCTTGCTTGGGGCCACTGCTGAAACTTGCCAAGACTGTAGCGCTGTGCTGAATTTCTGCACGGCTAATAAAACATGCAGGCTATGAGCAAGCATGCAAGGTGCGACCGACCATGGTGGTGGGATGAGAACCTATGCACAGGCCACCCTGCTCCAGCCCATGCCAGGCATGTCCCAGGCTTGTCACGTCAATCTGTCTGATACACGGATCACTACTGAGGAAGGCCTCTGATGACAACTTTAGCGGATCGACATGTTACAGTAACTGTTTTGAATGATGCGGCACTAACACACATAACAATAAGTGCTAGTGATGCTAGTTACAGTTGCAGTTTCCAGAGCTACACTTCTGCAGATCAGTCGAGACTCGACTGGCAATTGAACGGCTCAGAAATGTGCGTTGGCCCCAGCCACAAGGCATTCAAAGCTTGCCACACAACAGGCCCTGTCAACCTTCCTCCTGGCATTTGAGTGCATCTTTCCTGCATCTGCGATCAAGGACAGTGACCAAATCCCGTGGCCACTTCCTCAACCTTCACTGCGTTCAGATGCGCCTCAAGCTCCTGCCCCCATCCCTCACTGTGTAGTTGCCATGTCTTCAGCGCAGATTGTTTTTTCCGATTTTGCGCGCTGGAAGATTTCGACTTCGGTTCCAGCTCCTCACGTATGCCCGCCGCCCGCTCGACCATGCCTTGCTTTCTTGCTGTTGAGAGTGCGCTCTGCTTGCGCGAGGTCATCTGTTCTACGTGTTCTTCTTTTGTTTGAAACTGTTTATGTGCTTCGCCACGCTCGCTAATAGCAGTCTAATTTTCCTAGTCCACTCGTCTGGCAGATTTATTTGTTATTTCACATCTATCTTCTTTCATGTGCCCGCACTCGCCCAACATGCCCAACAAATCCCTAGATCTTGGCACGTCCGCTACCAAACAGCAGCCAACCGGAAGCCGATGCAGGGGTCTCTCAAATTGAGGTGGACTGCTGGATTGCAGCCTCCCCGGCTGAAGCGTGTTCTCATGTTCTGCAAGGTCCCGCTGTTCGTTGCTGCGATTCTCTGCCGTGCAACAGCCCACTGTCCGTCCCCCTTGCAGCAGGCACCCCTGCTCTATGATTTGGACATAGTCCGTACATCTCCCACCAAGTCGAAGCTTTGCTTAGCCGAGACGAGTAAGGCCATAGTCTCTACAATCACGAGCCTTGCCAACGTCAGTGAGGCATTGTTCCCAATCCTGCCAGCATGTCTGTCCTCTACACACAACTGCGTTGCTGCCCCATCTAGCCTCCATGGTGGTCTTGGCTTCAGATGACATATGCAGCTTGATTTTGGAAACAATGGCCCGTCAAAGCTCAAGCCTCCTCTCCAGGCAGCCTGCCGTGCACACATTTGGGCGCACTCATGGAAGCAAAATAATCCCTGCGTGCCAACACCAAACTTTCAAGACAGCCGCTATGGATCTTAGCTGGGCGCGCTGCTATCTTGCACTGGCTGGGGAGAACGAAGATGTGAGCACAAAGCAAAACTAGCTAAACCTTCTATTTCAGGGTGGTACCTCTTCCACTCTGGCAGTCCTTGCATTCCTTACCACTCAATCTTTTAATAAGCAAATGCGTGTCTCGCTGTAGCCTCGCGAAGCCCATCAGCGCTGCAGTAGAATTCGGTGACAGTGGCGTTTCGAGGCAAGAGCTCGCATCTCGGTCAACGGAGTGAAGTGCATGAAGTGCAGAGTATGTGGAGTCTGCAAGACTGCTGCATGTCTTCATCAGCACAAGGGGTCGCCTGGCAAACTGTGAATGGATTTTTTGTTGCCCGCATTTGCCTACGCCAGGCGATTTCAGGCAATCAAGGCTGGGAGCCAACACGCAAAACATCAAGCGCAGCCAGCGGATCTGCAGGCTTTGCATCTCTCACAGGTTTGCTTGGCAGGTCCTGCTGAACACTGGAGTGATTGAAATCCAGCATGTTGACAGGAACACCCATTCCATCCAGAAAGGTTCCGGACAAAGGTGCTTGTCCTGTGCCCTCCCCTTTGAATACGGGCACGCCCATTTCCCCATCTGCATACCCTCCGCCGACGAGGCTTTGGCCAGAAGTCGGCCAACCGTCACTCTGAGGAAAGCTGGCCACGGCTGGCTTGACTTCCATGCCTGTGAAGGGATCCGACGCGGAACCGGCTTGTGTGAAACTTGCGAACGAAGGTGGTGCAGACGGGGCTGACGGTGTTGGTGAGGAGCTGGTGAAGTCCATAAACGCAGTGATGTCCACGGCCTCCGACTTAGCCGGAGCGTCTTCACCAAAGCCAGTCTGCACAGTCTGCGCAACAGACGGTGAGCAAAAGCTTCCCCACTCCTCAGACTCTGCAGCAGCATGTTGCACAGGCATGGACACCGCAGGTCTTGCATCATCATCTGCGTCCATGTCCAGCAAGTCAACTGCTGGCATCGCCTGAGCGTTGGAGGGTCTACTTGGACTGCGGTCGGAATCAGAATCATCCTTGCCGTCCTGTGGAGCAAAGCTTGGGTCGAATAAACCGAACCTGTCCTCCCTTGGTCGCTCATCCTCGGCAGCTACGCGTTCAGATGCTTCCCGCGACGGGGCACGCCCCTCCATTTTGGACTCACGCGCAGCTCGTTCAGCTAGCTGTTCTTCCCTCAGTCTATTGAAGCGCCGTTCCAGCTCCGCAGCTTGAGAGGCAGAAAGTGTACGCGAGTCAGCACCTGGCCTGAGCTCGTTCAGGGCATCACCCAGCACGGAGCTGACGGACGAGGAAGGCATGGAAGGCGAAGCTGATCCTCGGCTTCCTCCAACAATAGCTGTTGGCCCACCGCCTGTGAGCTTGGTATGATGTAATTTGGCCTGCTCTCGCTCTTGCCTTAGGAGATCCTTGTCGTTGAGAAGCTTAACCAACGCGTCGGCCTTCTCTCGGACACCACTACCTCGGTCATGACCCTCATCCTTGCACTGGTAGTTGGCAAGCCGACGGAAGGTCAGCTGCTCTCCACGCAACTCATCGGCAATGTTTTCGCCGCCATTTTTCACCAAATATTCTAGCAAAATCAATGTCTTTAAGATTCGGCGCCACTTGTCTTGATTGCCGTTCAGGTTCTCAAGTGAGCGGGACATGATCTTTTGCCGACACTTGTACGTTTGAGCATCGACGGCAAGTTCATGCAGCACACTGTTGGGGCACCCCCATCTCTTGTTCGAGGTTGCCTCCCGCAGGTTTCGCTCAAACGGCGTCTCCAGCTCTGCCACTGCCTTGGCCTGCCTTTTTATTTTGATGGCCTCATGCTTCAGCTTGCCATACAATTTGTCGAATGCTTTCTCCATCAAATCCAGCTGGGGAGAGTTTCCTCTCACGCTTGAGCCCAAGCAGCAAAAAAGTTTCCTTGTGTCGAACACAAACAGCGCGCATCTCTCAACGCCTTCCCGTTCCAAGCACACAGTGCGCTGGATTTACTCACACTGTCTCTTGCCTTCTGATGGCCAAATTCTGCACCAAGCATCCACCGCCAACGCTACAGCCTGACCAATAAGAGCCCTAAAGCTCGCATGAAGCTGTTGGAGTATGTCGGAGTAATGTTGTTTGTCAGGTTCACTCCGCATCAACTCCAAGTTGCGGGCCGGGCTGTTGCAAACCTGATCCACGATCGATTTGCTCAAGCTATCTCAAACTGCAATTTAACGACTTCTGTTGCACAGGATCCTCAAACCATGTCAGACCGGTTACTGCCTGCGGCCGGTTATATAAACTTGCATGGCTAGCTTCAGCTGTGTTTTGCTACTTCGATGCATCCCTCCGAAGTAAGTTCGTGGCGCCAAGTGCCGTGACCTGGCCGAAGATTGCGGAGAAGCTGGAAGTATAACCGACTTTGTCAACTTCAGCTGTTCCCAAAGGCTCGGATTCAGCGCTGTCTTGGGCTGGCTGCACTTCGGCATCTTGCACTCAGCTGAGCATTTGGCGACCGCAAGTGCTGCAGCTTCGGCACGCTGCGACCTGCATTTGATGACCGGAAACAAGTCTGAAGTGCTGTCACGGAGGAGAATGCCGGCCAGTTCGCCCACAACCAAACGAGCCAGTGAATGGACAGGTACTAGACAAAAACTCCTATTGCATGTTGAGCATCATCTATTTCATGGCCGCGGTAGGGCTATTGCCCTTCAAGCACCGGCATGACAACGTTTCCCACCATCAGCACCGCCAGCAAATACCTTGACCGGTGTGCAGTGCAGAAGGTGCTTAGTGTCCTCAACTACATGGCTTGACCAACATGATGACGAGCAATCAACGTGCCGAAATGTGACGTGGCTCATGGTTCACCTGGCCTTATGCATTGCGCAATCGCCGGTAGCAGAACGTCTGCCTGAACAAAAACAATTTGACATGTTTCGTAGATGTCGGAACACTCCCCTCACAGATCTTTATGCTACCCCGGGCGTACACCTAAAACTTTGCGCAATTTTAGCATAGCTGACAGCAGAGCAAAAATATTGCAATGTGAAGCTCCACTGCATCCACTGCAATGCCTGACCTTGACGATCAAAAACTCTACCCATATTTGAATGGACAGCTGGTGTCAAAGAGAAGGGTTATGCAACCGAATGCAACTGGCGAGTCGAAGCGCCTGTGGTGGCATTTGCATACAGCAGGCCTCCTCTGCAGATTGACGTGTGGACGGTCTCAAGGACAGCATGATGCTGACCTCTTCGGACTTTACTTTACCGATGCAGGTCTCAAAACGCGAAAATGCTTCTGCATAGGCCTCACAAAGACTGGTGCAAAACAGCACGCATAGACAGGCGCCGCCACTGAACCTGAGAGACCAGCATGGCCAGCACGAGGATCGCTTCCATCTGACTGGGCCAGCTACGTGGAGTCTGCGCAAAGCCTGCCACGTGAAGGACGCGCAAACCAGAAGCCTCTGACCTGCAACAGCGGTGCCGGCTGCCACTCAGACTTGGCCCACAAGTCCTCAATCCACTGATTTGCAATATTTCAAGCATGCCAATGCACAAGCTTTCTGAACACATTGACGATTTACGACTGACGACTGCAAATCACGGGAGATCTCCTGACTCAAAGTTGCCCCCCACCCCACCTATACCGCAAACTTCTCTTAAACATGAGAAGACATCCTCCTTGGACCTTCGCATAACTTGTTTTTTCAGAGGTGCCTCCAATCTGCAACACGCACCCAATGTATGAAAGAGCATCTCAAGGATTGGTGCCTTGCATTGCCAATACAACTATTCAGATACGCCGTCCCTTCTCTATGGACTCTATGGACTCGGAGCAGAAAACATCACAGTCGGCAAGTGAGATTCCGCCAAGTCAAGTATGCCTTTCTGGGTCTCCGCTGAATGATGCGCAAAGGAAGGTTGGTCCTCTGGAAAGATGAATAAACTAGCCTGAGGGATTTCCCCAATGCAACCACTTCCACAGACTCCACAGGAAAAAAAAACTAAGCGCCTGTACCAAAAGAAGTGCAAGTTATTCAAAGAACGCTTCAACATGAAACATAGCCTCCAGGAGCAGAATGTCAGACACCATGTCCAGCAACGGATGGTCCTTGCAGCTCGGGCTGCAGGCATTCACGAATTCACAAAACTATCCAGTATCCAGGCCATGAACTGCACTTCGGGCGACAGAGCGCGAACAAGATGAATCTTCTAAGGCCGAAACCAAACATGATCAAACAGCTCAACGCTCAGCTTTGCAAAGCTTCGCAAAGGGTCACAACTGCAGCTTCTTTTTTTGTTCACACTTCTGGACGCCTTGCATCTTCCGTTTTCCAAAATGTGGCAAGGAAAGCTCAAGCTCAGGGGCATTCACAAACCATCAAGACGATAAACTGCACTTCGAACGACACAGCGCGAACAGGGTGAATCTTGAAGAGGCCGAATCCAAACGTGATGAAACAGCTCAAGGCTCAGCTTTGCTCGCAAAAGGTCACAGCTGCAACTTCTGTTTTGTTCACAGTGTTCCACGCTTTGTATCTTCAGCTGCATTTTGGTAGGCGCGTGTTGCTGCTGCGACTTTGACCCTTCTGCCAACTCCCCGGAAATTGCCTGCCTCAGTGCCAAACGATTGGCAAGCAATTGTCCCGACCCTTCAGACGCGCTGGCTCAGCTTATCTGCATCCTGCCCCAGCTGCTGCCTCAAAGCCGTGGCTGTCCGGCCCTGCTGCGCCACAAGGCCGCTGAGCTTTTGTTGCGCTAGTTTCTCGTTTCGCAAGCTGCTGTGATCTTTCGTAAGGTTTTCCACGCAAGCCTGCATCTCCTCGACGTGCTGCGCTCTCGCTTTGTAAGCTGCTGTGAGCCTTCGCCAGACTGTCCAAGCTTGCTTGCATCTCCTCGATGCGCTGCTCCATCTTCTTGCTGCGCAAGCTGTCTTGCGCCTTTAAGTAAGAGTTTCCGAGCTCACCTGCATCTCCTCGACATGCTGCTCGATCTTCTTCTTTTGCAAACTGCGGCCTTCGCAAAACTGTCCAAGCTCGCCTGCATCTCCTCTGGGCGCTGCTCCATCTTCTCGCTGTGCCAGCTCTCCTGTCCTTTCTCAAGACGATCCACAAATTGGTCGTTCCTCTTCTCCAGATCCACTTTCTCGGTGCACGTGAGCATGTCCAGGGATGCGTAATTCCGTTGCTTCTCAGCATCTATGGCTCTGCGCAGGGCGCGTGGTCTCCCTCCAGCTCCGTCAAACCGCATCCCCTGGACCTGGATCTGCGGCTGCTTCGGATAGGCAATCTGCTCACGCATCCAGTCCATAGCAGCAAGAGCGATACGAGCACGATTAAGCTTGTTTGTGGGCCCTTGACGTCTGACCAAGGCTTCAGGGACGTTATATGTTCTTGCTCAAGTCAGAAGGGGTGCTGTGTGAGCATGTTGTGGAGCCTATGTGTGTGTATACATATATACACACTTCAGCCATCTTGCTGTCAGAGGTCAACAGGCATCTTCTGCTTGGACATGCCTGGAGCCAACCGTGCAGGTGAAGGCTTCAAGCACGTGCTCGCAATACTTTGACGACCGAAAAGCAATCCACCTTTAATCCAAGCAATAGTCCTCTCGGAAATACCGCAGGCCATCGCCGCCTAGCCTCTCTTGGCAAGCCTGTTTGTCACTTGTAACAAGAGGACTCAAAGACCCGATGATTTCCCCAGAGGCAGCCGGGCCTTCCATCCCTCCGTGTCTGGTACAACCGTCGCCCAGGACACAAAGCCCTGCGCCAAAGAGGGAGGTCGGCGGCTCTTGCCGCGCTCTCACTCTCTGCGTGTGGAAAGCTACTGGAAGTTGTTCTAAACCCTAGACATCCTGCCAAAGCGCAGAGACACCAATACCAAGGAATCAACTTGTGACTCAGGAATGGTGTTCAAGGACTTTGAAACATCCTGAGAGTCTGACTTTCAGGCACAGGGTTTGCGTCAGGTAAAGGGTCTCGTGACCATGCCACTTAATCCTAGGGTCGTACATCGCATAGCAAAACGCATGCTGCAGAGGAATTTCAAAATGTTCAGATGGCAGTCCCTTCTTGATGGTTGCTGCGGCTGCGCCGCTGGTTTTGAGGGACTGCAGAGCTCCAGAATGACACCAACCACCCAAACCTGAAACCACAAGCTGAAACAAGAAGCCTCAACGGTTTGGTCTGTGCCCGATGTTGCAAGTTTTGGGATCTTGAGGTTTGAGTGGAAAGGTGAAGGTCCTTTAGTGACCTGGTCAAGATTCATCGTTGCCTTCAGCGTCATGAGCAAAGCTCCAGCAAAAGTCGTCTGACACCAGAGCCGAATGTCCCCGAAGCGCCAAATCTCAGAAAACAAATGCGATTTTGCGCAGTAAGTTTTGAATGGAAGCACCTGAGTTCCCATCAAGCCCCAAGCAGATGACCTGGCATTGCTCCCAATCCGTTAGCTGAATGCCTTTTATGGCCGCGGACACGGTCCGCGCTCTGCTTCAAGGCGTAACCCAGGGCAGCTTTACCGGCAGAAGGTCGGTGATGGACTCCAACACCAAAGACATGAAACCGACATCGGAGCTGAGCCACCTTCTTGCCGCATGGTGCTGACAGGCGCAGGATGCCAGAACTTGCAATGCTTCCAGGCCTTGCACCATGCAAGGAGCCACCTTGCAAAAGGCGTGCTAGAAGCGTGGTGGCTTTCCAAACACAAAGCCAAAGCTCTGGCCTTCCAGTGCATCTGCTATAGCAGCCACAGCGTCATTCGGCTTGTGAAGTTCATCCTGAGAGAAAGACCACGAGCCCTCAGCTCTCATCAAGGCAGAGCAGAGCTATGCAGAGCTGCAGGCCATCCAGCGGACGTATCGTTGCCTGCACTGCAACATCCCCAATACCTCCCTCAACTCTGAACTGGTCCTATCTGCAAGATTCGCGACTTCAGTCAAGCGAGGCGGATAGGCGTGGCTAGGTAGAGTCCGACCTGAAGATGGTACGAGCATGTCCAGCTGCAAATCCACCATGGCATTGCAAGCAGTGACATCTTCCAATGAGACTAGCACCACCAAGCATGTAAAACAATCTATGCCCAATTACACGCCCCAATCCAGAACAAACCCTCCATGATGTTGGTTTGGCATCTTGTGTTTTCGCCATTTACACCCATTCAGTCTTGCTGGTATGCAGCAAGGAAGCGGCATCATCAGTGGCCGCCAAGATTACAGTAGCAATCATATTATACTTGCGATCTGTGCGGTGGGTTCCCATTCTGATGACATCCACGATCCTGCGCCCCCAATGTTTGGCCATGTATACTCAATGTATACAGAGCCGCAGGCATTCTCCAGGAAGAAGCCACCAAGCAAAGCCAGACTTGGCAAAGCCCAGCGAAGGATCTGCAAACCTCAATCGGTTAGTCGAAACCACCAAGGCAGAGAAACGATCTTGTTCAGCTTAGGAAAGAAACCAGTACTGTGAGTAGCTGGCCGTTTTTGCTGAGACGACATTGACCATCAGGCTGGAGCCGTGGCGATGCAGCTGCAACTGACCATCAGGGTCCCCGAAAAACAGCTCAGTACGCCCAATTTCGTACTAACAATCCATCAATAAAAAAAGTGCGCCGCCCTCTCGCTGACATCTCTGTTGGGGTGATCAAAGTTTGTTCAAAGGAATGGATGCGCAAGCCGTTGGCACGCACCGTCCGGGTGACCCTCAGCGCAAGAGTCCGTACGTGCAGTACCTGAAGTCTGGGCATTTGTATTTCTTCTTTCACAAATACGACTCGAGGCAAGCCTGAGCCCATGGCTGTCGCCACCCTGCAGGGCCGGAGGCCTGCCGCATGAACCCGACAAACACATGTCCATCTCAAAGTTGCTGAGACCGTTCCACGAATCTCAGGGGAGTTCTTGAACAACGCTCCGACATAAGCATACCTTAGACTGATCAAAGCGAACACATCTTTTTTGCCTCGAAGCTTCCAGTCGCTGCCTTCACAAATTTGGTCTGGTGTTATGTTAGGTTTTTCAAAACAAAGACCGGGCATGTCTGCTCGTGCAGCGCAATTTTGCAAGACAACACAGGCTCTTTCGTTACTTTAGGTCTCTCTTGCTTTCTTTCTGTCTTTCTTTCATTCAGGGTCTCAGTTTCATCTTTGCTTGTAGGACCCGGCTTAACGTAGGCACTATAGCCTATGTTGCTGGCGCAGCCGATGTCTGCCGGCTATGTGCAAGTGCAAGGCATGTTGTCTCCCTGGCGCAGTCTTTTTGGATTCCAACCCCCCATACTTTAGGCTGACCCAAGCGCCTACTCAGGACCATTGTCTTCCGGATCGCTGAATTTGTTGATGCCCATCTCACGCCTTGAAGAGCGCGACTGGTGCTGACCTTCGTTCCAAGCAGCTGCCATCGCTCATGGCAGCCCACATTTGCGATGAAGTGGAATGCGTTCAGTGATGAATGCAGTTTGAGGATGTTTGAGGGTATCACGGCAGTCTGCAACTGCCAGTGGTAGTCTGCTTGTGTAGGCTTGACCAATCCTTGTGACATGCAACCCCTGGGCTCAGCTGCTTTGCGGTTTACTCAGACTCAGTGATGCCGAAAATGCTTAGTATCCAATCCTGATCTTGCGAAGGCATACTGAAATGCTTTAATGCTCCACGCTTCATCCGAGCACGCGCTTTGAACTCAGAGAGATGCTGCATTACCTATTACGCGGCCTGTGTGGGGATCCGCAGCTGTCGGTTGAGCATCAAGAATCAAGATTGTTTTTATTAGACGATTGCAGCCTCAGGGTTGAAACTGAAGGGTAGGGGGTATTTACACAAAGTTTGCACAACTTTGCTTTAAACTGCCGTCTCTTGCGGCATGAAGTCCCTTGGCAAGTCAGAGTTGCAGTACCTCACCCCGACATCCAGGAGCTTTGCTGCCTGCAAGCACAATGCAGAGCACAACAGTTTGCAACCGAGGCAAGACGGCTTTCTGAACTTCTGACTATTGGCTCAAGCAAGCAACAGCACGTTAAATAGCGACCTCCTTTGCACAGTCGGTCTGTCCAAAACGCTGCCAGACGCCAACCGTGCAGCGCTTACCTTGCAGCATTTGAGGATGAATTTCTAAAGAAGACGGAGCGAAAGGCCAGCTCACCTGCTGCTTAGCATCAGTCTTGGTATTATCGAGCATTGGGATAACTACAACGACTGAGATTGTCTTGTTCTGGTTCTCACTGCAAGCGAGGTGCAAAGATCATGCAGCGCTTCCTTATGCGTGCTTGTCAGCTGTTCTGTCCATTCCATGTAGAAGCCATCCAGGCACAAGTCCTCACATACTTCGCGAGTTGGCCAGGTTGCAGATCATGTCTCTGCAGCCCAAGAATAACAAATGGGCAGCATGGCCATAGCACTTTCCACAACCTTTTTAGCACGACTCTGCTTTAGCGGCACTGGTCTTTTGAAGGTCCACAAGGTCTTAGGTTTGAGCCTTGGCGGGTCAATGTCTCTATTTCCAGGATTGTCTTCTCAAAGAGTGGGAACAACAAGTTTGCCTCTTTGTGGCGTAAACTCCGGCCTCAACCCCGCATGCAACGGAACCCCAACTTCTCTTTTGATGACCACCACCGGAGATCAGGGCCAAGGCATTGATAAGACAATAATAACATGTCCGCGCTACCGCTCGCTGCTCTTCTGGGTTGCTCGAGCATGTTTTAGCAGTGGCACGTTCGTGTCTCAGACGGGGTAGCAGGCTCAGCGCTCAATGAGTTGGCGACAGCAGACTGACAAAGCCTGCGACACAACCTGAATTCCAGGCATGTTGTTCATCCGCGCGTAATCGACACAGAATGATGGTGCCTGAGATGAAGAACAAGACTCGCTGTCGGCCCGTCCATTTCGGAGTCCATGGATTGGATCTCCGACATCATTTCTGGATCATGGTTTTTGCAAGCTTTTGGAGCTGAGGGTCCAGCAGGAGTGGGCGCGGCAAACACACAAGTCAACCCTCGAGCAACATGGGGTGGTTCAGTAAACCACGAGAAGCCACGAAGATGGGCCCGAGCACAGGTGAACCTGAGTTGGATGGCTCAGCAGTTGACGTGGCGTTTTTCCGAAATCAACGCCACCATCGGCAAGAGTTTGGCGGGTGGTATCTGGGGTCGGACGCTGGCAAAGCTAGATCAGTTCAACATTTGAAGAGTCTGTAGACTTGCAGGGCTTCATTTGCCGCGGTTATGAAGGTAGCAAGCGCATCTGTTGAGTTCCCGGATCAGCCGTTGCACAGCAAGAGAAGAATTGCCTCGACAGGGCTCGTCTACTTGCACAAGGTACTGATTCAACTAGGGCAGTTTCTGTGCGAAAGGATGTTCCTCTCTCTCAACTTGTTCCTTGGCACTTTTTCCCAGTAATGAGAACTCCTACAGGGATCCCTATCTGGCTCACTGTACACATGTTGCTGATCAGCCGTTGCAACCCTGCTCCTTTTGCTCCAAGTACTGCAAGGCTGTCTCCATGGATGAAGCGCTTCCCACATCAAGCGTCTGGTATTTCGCTTGCAGATCAGGCTGCGGGACGCAAGTCAGCAACAAGAGCTGGGGCCGATTTAAACCTGGGACATGTCTTCGCTGCTCTTCGAAGCCTCTCGCGAAGCCGTGAAGCTCAGCAAGCTCGAAGGACATTACTAGCGCGCATGCCTTGAGAAGCTGCGGCTTCTGTCCAAAGAAGCTGGCCACTGCTTCTCCAACGCAAGGGCCAGCGCAGCCCTTCAGCTCAATGACCAGCTGGCATGAGTTTGCAAGTGCGGTGTTCAGGACCTCCTCCAAGCAGACAATGTGGCTTTCTGGCTGACGGAGCGGCCACTGACAAAGCTGTTCCGCCGTCAACTCAGTGATCTTTGGCGTCCCAGTTGTTGCCGTCAAGCGGTCCAGCGTCTCGTCATGAGACAAAAGAATTCTGCCATCAGAACTTACCCGCACATCGCACTCGCAAAGCCGTAGCCCGGCCTCCCATGCTGATTTCATTGCAGGCAAAGTGCACTCCAGGGGTCGGTTCTCTTCCAGCTGTGGGTAATGAAAGCCTCTATGTGCCACCAGGCCTTCTCTCAGCTGAGTAGGGAGCTGCGGCACCAGCTCTTTCAGCCATTGGCTTTCTGCGGCATGCTGGGCTAGCATTTTTCTGCTAGCGCAAACAGAAATAAACCGATCTGCGACGCCGCTCTGCAAATGGCTGAGGCACTGCTGAGCCTAACCATGCAAATCACAGTCCGGAGGTGCAGAAGTATTTGAAGCGGTTGACTAGAGAGCATGCTTGGACAGGACCATCTGGAAGCCAGTTGTTGCGAGATGGAGGCAAGAAAGCTCAGCCTTTTGTAAATGCTGGACAGCGCGTCCACCGGGCAATCACCACAGAAGTCGCGAAAGCAATTGCTGTTCAAGAGCGCCCGGCTCCTCAGCCGACGCGCACGGACTGTCAATGAGGATTCTGCACAGTTCTCAAAAGATCTGCAAAAAAAAGGACCTGGCCTTAAAGCCCTTCCTGATCACTGCAAACTGTAAACACGCTCGCTTCAAAGACTTCATTGACATGCTGGCTGGAGCTGCCAGACCCCGTTTTGCAAACGGCGTCTGGCTGCAATTTTGGGACGTGAAACAAGGGAAAGCTGCCGGTTGACATCAGCCCTCCATGCCGAACATCGATGTGAACTCCTGCATGGCTCCAAGGCGACTGAGAAGTTAGCTACATATGTTACAAGTACCTGCCCATCCGCTGCTTTGATTAAGACGCAGAAAGTGTACCCTGAACAGTGGCTGGGCTTCTGAATGAAAGCCAGTAAAGGCTTTCTGATGCGCTTGCATTATCAGCTGGACCCTGGCTACTCTCTTTGCTGTCACTGGTAGGACATGCATGGAACAATCCTTGGGCACATCTGCTGTATGTCCAGAGTTTCACGAACTTGGCATAAGAGAATTGCTTCTGTAATTCTCTTTGTTCAACAAACCATGGACCGCTCAACTCATACGCGTATGAGCCGGCCCATTCCCCATCTGTGCCGGGTCTGCGCCTCGTGAGACTTCAAGTCGCCGGGACTGACGCTCGGTCGCACCTTTTCCAGCGCAACCTGCCGCCAGGAAGCTTCAGGCTCTGGATGCTCAGATGCTGGTGCTTTGTTATTGCAATTAGCGTGTCTGGCAGGAACCCGCAGCAGCGGCTATGTCAACAGCTACGCGGGACTTACTTTGCAGTCATGTTGCTGCACCTTGAGCTTCATTCAGCCGGGGTGCACATGAAAGAGGGCTCTACAAACAGTGAATACTGACTGTTTGCGGCTGAACGCGGGCTCTCTTACAGATTCCATGCAACGAGTGATGCCTCGAAGTCACGCGCCTCAACGTCGGGCCTGGCCAGACAATGTTACGTTGAGCGGGGAATGGTTGCAAAACTCCGCAAGCACGTCAGCCGAACGACAGGAGCTCCGCGGCGGGGACCTGCCACTTGCCGTCAAAAACTTTGGAACCGGCTGGAATGCTGCAGGCTGCTCTGGAAAATGAATCAGGGCTACAGTAGGATTTAGCGGCTCGCTGCTAGAATTATAGGGCAGCATCTGGCACGTTTTCTTTCCTGCTCATCATGTGATTTGCATGGGGAAACACATTCTGAAGGACATTACAATGCCTCCATAAGAGTCATGGGCACCGCCCCGGGGTCGCCAGGACTGCACGGTGTCCAGAAGCTCCGCTTGCCATCAGGACCTCTCAATCACCGCGCACATGCTGTGCAGACGGAGAGAGCTCACAAAGGCATTGAAAGTGACTGTTCGATGGAGCACTGCGAAGCGTGCACAATTGGACAGCCGTCAGGCACGGCTTCGACACTGCGGGACAAGTAGCACTGATTTGGCAGTGACCATGCAATTCTGACCAAGCAGCCTGTCTTGTCAACGCGCTTGAAGGTTCGCGCACGCTGACATTTCCTGACCGGCCTCATGCCCGAACATGGTTTTGCACACAAGGATTGTCATGTTAGCTAGCTGCAGCACTTGCTGCACTGATTCCGGCTGGGGCATCTACTTACGAGCCAGGCAAAGGCTTCAGAAGAGGTCAGGTTCACTTGGCCCCAGCAGTTCTCTTGTACTGCGCGTGCACCCAGACTACACTGACGACATTGACATGGCAATGCAACTTTCTGAGTCAGCTGCTCGAAGAGAGCATCCCTCGTGAGAATGGAGATGTCAGCACCTTCAGCTGTGTCGTTGACAAACATTCCTCGTACTGCGAAGCATGCAAGGCAAGGTAACAACAAATGGGTGCTGCAACATCTGCCATCAAGATGCCACTGTAGCCGTCAGTTTGCGCAGCGATGTTTCGGAGTTCCTTCCAGCATTTGCCATCCGCTTGAGTATCGTGTGCAGAACTGTGGCGACATCAGCTAGGACCCGTTTCGTCTCCTCTGGGGTGCAGCTGTGTGGTGTGTCGCCTCGACGACATGCAAGTACACCAATTGCAGCATGGCAGGTAGCAAATCAGAACTCTAAGCGCGCTGCCCAAGTGCAGCGTGAGTAGCCGCACTCGTGCCTCCATATCCTTAACCCACTTGCAGCTCTACACACTCCGATTTAGACCAAAGGGCCTTTCTCGCTGGTTACACTCTAGCTCGGCGACGGGCTGGCAGAGGAATGTAGACACGCTTCTCGAAACGACGACGGATGGCAGTGTCTAGGTCCTGCCGTCGCAAACACGTAGCCAAGGCTTACATTCAGCGCAATGTCTTACAAGCACCGTGCTCTTCGCCGCTGGCAGTCCCAGGGAGTGTTCGTTGCCCCCAGGACCAGGATTTGGGAGCTGTCCTTTCCAACCTTTGCAGCTCCATCTTCTCAGCGCAGCGAATAAGCAGAGTCAGCTTGACAATACAAACTGTCCCAGCGCCAGGCTCCATCCATCCTTAGCTCAACGTAGTCAGCACACACACACACACACACACTGATGCGTTTGAAGACAACCAGTTGAAATGCTTGCAACATCTTGCAACTAAAGGCTCTGCGCGAGGAATTCGGTCTTGATTCGCCGGGCTGCATCCGACTCTCCAGATTCGCCACGAGCGCCACAAAGAGAGTCTACCTGAAAGTTGTACAAGAAATTCAGAAAGGCTTCTGGTCAGAGGCCTGCTGCCTAGCGTGGGGCTTAATGCGGGGCTAATGGTTCACAGACCTCCAGTTTCCGGACGCGGGTTTGCATACGTCTCTTTCCGGACAATCGTACCACTTTTTTGGCTGAGTGCATCCCAATTGTAAAAGCCACCCTGTCAGCCAAGCACCCCAATACTGACAAGTAGCCATGGAATACTCTCTCGCTTAGCTCACTGTACGGGCTGAACTGGGGCTTTGCGAGGGCTAGCCCAGAAGATTGAGAGAGTCATGCAATCTTGTAAGAGACATAAGATAGCCATGTAGAGCTAAGGGGCCAACTCCAATTACAGGTGAAAACTACCGACTGGAAGACATCTTTCGTCTGCGCCAATGCAACTAGACCCTGAAACAAATAAATGGAGGGCGGGCATGTGCATGATAAGATCAAATTTGTTTCGCTGCGAAGCTGGTTGCCTCATCAACGAAGATGATGGCCGGTTTGCTCTCTCTGGCCATTTCGAACAAGCTTCGCACCTTGGGGGAGGCTCCAGAGCCGGGGCTGAACCAGAAGATTGGTGATTGGTGTGCCCACTCAGCAGGTCTCAAAATTTTGTAAAGTGTTTTTGGATCTAAGGCAACACCTGCTCCAAGATGCAAACTTCATGGTGCTTTTCCTGTAACGTGGGCGTTTTGTATGTGAAGCCGTGGTTTGCTGAGTGATAGAAACATCAACTGATTGTTCAACTTCCTGCAATCACACATCACTTCGTAGTGCACAACCCCGAGTTGGCGAGCAGCTTCTCCGCAAGGAGTCAAGCACGCCATCAATTTCCAACCACCTCTCCCGATTTTCCACACTTCATCTTATAATTTCAAACAGCCAACCACTTGCACCCAAAAGTTCAATCTTCAGCATCCGAATTCAACGAGCATGACACCAGCCCTTACTCACTAGCGCACCACCTCTCCCCGCAAAAATCAACGGATCTTGTCACCTCCATTTATCCAAAGATGGGCAAAGTCCACCTCCTAGAAAAATGTTAACCGAAAAAAACCCTTGAAAACCAGCTCCAACCAAATCGAGAGATCCCCCGCTGTATATCCTGAAAGGACAGAATTATAGCAGGGAGCAGCAGCAGCAGCAGCAGCAACAGCTAATGTAACAGTTGTTTTTTGCACCAACAGCGATTGAAATCATACATCAGCAGCAATTAGTAGCATGTGTTTGCAGATATTGAAGCATATGTGCTCACATGTGGACAACCAGGTGATAGCTGAGCCGTTGGCAAGTTTCTCGCTCTCTCCCATCCACTTGGAAACCTCAACAATCTGCTCTCCAAAGTGGCCGTTCCAGACTTGGAGTCTTGCTGCTGCAGATCCCTCATTCTCAACATTCCATGTGAGCACGAGGTCCCCACCAAGTCGGAGGATGAGATGCTAAAGAAAGTGGCATCGGCCTGCAAAACAAGATTGCTGCTACCTTGTGGTCGTCAGTCCTGCTGAGCCTTCCGATTCTTTACGGACATTGCTTCAACAAATGCTGACCCTTTCCTGCATGATTTCTCTACTGAGAGCGCGGGACATCCAGCATCATCTCACAAACGCAAGATAATATACGCAAGTTTATGGGAACGCTTTGGGTGGACAGTCTTAGATCGTTCAGACTCGGGACCTCCGTGGCACAAGCCTTGGCCAGGAACGATTTCCTCAAGTGTCGAGACAGGATGCCAAGGCCTAAATCATAGGGTTTAGGGTTTGTCAGATGGAAAAAAATTGGTATACACATGCTTGACCAACTCTCCATATGCAGCAAGACGTGCAGCTGCATGCATAGCCTATACACTTAGGACATGCCAAAGGCTCAAGTCTGGAACCGAACGTGCAAAAATGATCCTAGTCTCCTCTCATCCACTAGGATATCCCAATGTCTGCAAAAACCTCCAAGGCCGGCACCCTGTCCCTGGTGGCCCATAGAGGAGGATGCCGTGCCTGCAGAAAACATGTAACACTACTGCTCTGTGCAGAGCTCATGTGGCCATCCATGCTTCAGCAGAGATTAGATTAAAGAAAAAGACAATGAGCTTGAAGCATCCCAACACGACGCTCTGGGCATCCCCACCATGGAACCCGCTTGCCGGTGAAGAGCTGCGGAAACCTGGCTGGTAGGCTGGTAGAAGCAAAACCGCCTCCGAAACTGTTCCGCCGGAAGACCCCAGCCTAGTTGGCAAGATGACTGTCTCTTGGAGCGCGCCCTTGGCAGCCTGAATGGTGGCTCTACGCATGAACCCCACAGCATCGCTCGTTCGGTGACCTGTGCTGGCGACCCGCCTCCAAGCCAGCCACATCATCCCACCTGCCCATCATCGTATGATTGCATTATCTTGCCCTGGGCTGGATGCAACCATGAAATGGGATCGAAATACCAGTTGCGAAAGCAGCCCCTCAGACCTGATGTTGGGCTTGCTGGTCATGATGGCACCTTCAAGTCCTTTCCTGCAGGAGTGCAGGAGTCAAACAACACAGAAGCCAGGACGTTGTCCACAGTCTGACTGAGGCTGTCACTTCAGTTTCTCTTTTTCCTTGTCTTCCCCATCTTCAGCAGTTCCTTCTGATGACTCGAGATTCGAAAGTCCACAGAACCAAACCTCGTAGCATGTCCTGTGGCAGGCGGTGCTTGGGTAGCAGCGCCACCTCCCGCATAGCCTCCAGGAGACGACGGGGCCTGACGTTAAACTGTCACTGTCACCTGTCACCTCTAGCGCGTTGATCAACTTGAGGGGGAGGCGCAAAGCAAGTGCAACGTGTCCAGCCTGGGCGCCGTTCGCGGCACGTGCCTTCAGCGACTCTGCCTTGAACCGGACGGTTCAGCATGGCAAAGCAGCCGATGTTCATAGAACATGACGGTTGATCAGGCTGAAAAAACCAGTACCACTCTGGCCTTTCAGAGACTTGCTGTGGCTGGCTTCACGTAAAACGCTCAGCCTCTGGCCCGGCTCACCAAGTCTTCTAATCTTTCCCGCAGCATGTCCTGCATGTGGCTTGAGGATCGAATCGTCAGATGAGCATTATTTCAAGCTGTTGCCGCTATGACTTATGAGTCTCCATCGTCCGTTCTGGGGTAGGCTGGCCTTGACGCGAGTATTTGATTCCCACCTTCATGGCGCCAGCAGATAGGGACAAAAAGCGCTCTCAAACACCCACACCATCCCGCACACACATTGGGCTCTACCTTGTTGATTCTGAGCTTGCCACTTCCATACGAACTGGTAAATCTGCAAACAGTTCTGGTACTCGCGGAGGGCATCCTGTGTCGCAGGCAACACAACCAGCTGATGCTAGACATCCCTGTTCACCCAGTTCACAGTGTGACAGCCAACCGGCGCGGCCTGCAGCTGGCCCTGTCCTTCCAGTTCGCGTGCCTCACATGGCCAAGGATGTGAGTGAACAAGCGCCCTCAGTCCTCAGACACCTTCCTGCAAATACGAGCGGCAGGCATTTTCTCTTTCGTGCGATGCATGGGAGCGCGGACCGCTTAGCGGCTGCGCGCTGCAAGTTGCGTGGGTAGCAACGGCCCTGGCCTCGCGATCGTCGAGGCTGGCCTGAACTACAGAGCGTCCTAAGATGGATCTAAACACGAATTTCCTGCCCAAGGCAGCCATGCAGCATTAGCTTTGTCCACAGTGGGACATGTGATTGACTTCTGCAACTGACTACACATCGACTACATATCATACATATCATACACAAAACGATGATGTTATGAAGCTTCGAAGCAGCAGGCGCTACAGTGCCAAGAAATGCGAAGACTCCTTGCACAAAGGACCTCCAAACACCCAAACCGATAATTCTTCTGTCTCGAGTCTCCAACGTAGCCGGGCCAGACGGCCAGAGACAGTACGCAGGACTGCACTTTTTTGCATAGATGATACACTGTACTGTGTGACTCGCGTATTATTACTTGTACCACAATCACATGGAATAATGATGGAGCATGAAGCGCAGCCAACCAAGCACCTTCTTAAAATTCATCAGCATCCTGCAGGCTCCCTGGTTCTTGCACTTGTGCAGACCCATTTGGGTATCCTTCAGGATCTTGCTGATGTGGTGAAGGGCTATTCAGCTGCGTCTGCGGAGCGGGGCTCACATCAGTCTTCCCGTCTGCAAGCTCAAGGACTGGATGTGGCCTGCACCACTTCCAAGGTCTACGATGCGCCCAAGTTCGATGATATTTGTTAAGCATGGCCGGCCGTCCTTGCATCTGCCAATTCCACGGCTTTCAATTCTGCATCTTCAGGTTTCTCCTCCTGCAAGAATAACCAATTCGGCAGAAGTTGGCAAAATGACTCTGGGCAGCTACTCGGCAGGCCGGGGTCCTCAACCACAGACTCGTGCTGCCTGAAGGAGATTCACATGCCAAGATCAGAATGCACAGCTCCGCTTCAGGGCCTCAGCATGCCGGTGCTTTGCTTCAGCTGCATGATGTGTTCCTGGATAGCACTGCTGGCTGGCATTCTGCATGCGCATATTCAATATTGTAACAATGAAGCAAGTCTTGCAACTCCCAACATTATCTGAGTAGTTGAGTGAGATCATGTCACATCATGATCTTGAGCGGGAAGCCGGCCTCGTACGTCGGTTTGTACTTACGGCGGTGCTTCCTGAGTCGTTGGCATGACATCCATCTTCCAGTCCAGCTTGAGACTCTGATCAGCATCCTCATGCACTCAAGGGATAGCTCTTTGTCGCTTGCCTTCCTACACACCAGAACCACATGCAAGGTGCGGCGAGATGTTTCAAAAGCTCACGCTTTTTTGAAAAGGCGACCGTACTTAAACTACAGCCTCTCTCTTGCCTTCAGTTCCAGATGTTTTCATAGAGGCCCACTTGGCGTGACACAGGGAGAAACAACTTACCTGAAGCCAAGGCCTTCAGCAACTATCCATGTCCTAGTGTGATGGGCCGCATGTGTTAGCATTGTGCCATGCAGAACTTCGTTGTAGGTGCGGACATTAATCAATCCACATGTGGAACTCCAAGAAATGCTAGAGCCTTCTCGCGACATGACAACATGCTGCAAACTTCAAATGCCCAAACTTGTTGAGACATGTGCAGACTATCACGGTGGTGATCGACCGCATAAAATTCAAGAGAAGGCGAAGCGTGGCAATTCCTTACTTGTTAAAATAGAATTTGTCGCCGGCCGTCAATGTGGGTTCATAGAGTTTGAGCGTATTTGTCGCCCAATGTCACCGGTCCTTCATGTTGGAGTGGTGTTGTTTCGCGTGTCTGTCTCATTTTCTCAGTTTAACTTCCTGCACAGGCCTTCAGATTAATGAGTTTCTGCCAAGTGAAGAGACATCTCCGTCATTTCTTGGAGCAAACGTTTTCCGGCATGAGTGACCTGTTCTTAGCAGTGCTTCAGGACTGGAACCCATCAACAGAGAGCGTTCGGGGCTGCTAAGCCTGAGCCTGTTCCCACTTTACGAAGGGATAGCTTGCCATCCGTGAAATCCATGGCTGGGTCATCTTTCAGTTCTTGTTGATGGGTGCACTGAGAAGGCACTGCCACAAAAGAACATGCACAACTCACGCGAGTTATACATCACATGACTTCTTGGGCCAGCACTTAGCTTGGTCAAGGATCGTACTGTAAAACGTTTGCCCTGGCAGGTCGAAAGCAGTGCAAGACTCAGAGAGCCAGGAGAAAAGTGCAAAACTGCCTGCTGGATCAAATGCTCGAGCAGTGTCCTCCTCCACTTCAGCCTTATACTTGTACTCAAGAAGCATCATGTATGCAGCAGTTGCGCCTGCAAACAAAGCAGGCATTCCTGCGACAAGTGTGCACTCTTGGCTTTGCGCTGCACCCGATGGGAGGTTCCTGACACATGCCATGCGTCAGCCCATCTTCAAACCCTTTTAAATATTTCACAGATCCGAAAAGGCATTGTAACTCAGCCCAATATCACAGTGGGCACGTGTGAGCTGAATGTCTGTAGTGCCGCCAAGCATGGGCAAATTGGCTGCCTGTGCTGTGAGACATACCATCAGCCTCTGAGGGTTCACAGCAGGATGTAAGGATGATTTGGAATTGCAACAGGCCGCCTTCCCATACATACCTGTCCCATCCTGTCCCTAATCTGCAGCTGCTGTACCAGGTTGATCCTATTTCTCGTGCGCACTTGACGCGGCCGAT